GCTCTGCATTACAGTTTGGCAGATTATATGTCTGACAGCATTTAGCTAAGACATCTGTAGCTGTCAAGTATAATCATTGTAATGAATGTTCTTCTGTAATCTAAGAGACAGCTATTCAGCAAATTTTTAACATCTGGCTAGTCAGCGACTTTTCAGCTAAAGAGGTCAAAACATACTATTTTTAGAAAGAACTGTACTTCAAAGACTCTTTTCCTACTCCTACTTTTGTGGTATATATTCCTACAATATTTTAACCCTGAAAATCTGCAGGAAGCATATTATTAAAACTGTACAGAAATCAAAACCAAATTTTTGGAGTTTCACTATGCCACAGAATATCCTTCATTCATCAGCTGGCAGGAAAAGGCACCATTTCACATTATTACTTCCATGCTCCTATTATTATGTTAAACATTTACTATGCAACCAAAACTAAAGACAGAGGGTTCTAAGAAAATATATTTTCCTAATACACAAGTTGTTTCTTTAATTTATTTTTTTGTAATGCATTTAAAGATTTAGCTGCACTTCTCTGGAAAAACACTATTCCTTTTGCAAAGAAGAGGCATAGAATAGACTCACAGAATGGTTTGGGTTCAAAGGGAAAGTTACAGGTCATCCAGTCCAACCCCTCTGCAATGAGCAAGGTACATCATCAAATAACTCAGGTTGCTCAGAGTCCCATTCAACCTGACCTTGAATGTTTATAGGGGTGAGGCATCCATCACCTCTCTGGGAAGCTGGTGCCACCCTCATAACACAAAAATTCTTTCTTATATATTTCCCCTCTTTACTTTAAAAAAATTATGCCTTGAAATCTGTTCCCATCTTTTTTACAAGATTCTTTTTAGTGTGAAAAGCCGCTAGAAAGTGTCCCTGAAACCTTATCTTTTCCAGACTGAAGAACACAGACTCTCTCAGCCTTTCCTTATAGGAGAGGTGCTCCAGCCCTATGATAAATTTTGTAGCTTTCCTCTGGACTGGCTGCATTAGATCCATGTCTTTCCTGTCCTAAGGATCCCACAGCTGGATGCAGAATTCCAGGTGGGGTCTTGGTAGAGCAGAGCAGAGAGGGATAATCCTCCCACTCAACCTGCTGTCCATGCTGTTTTTGATGCCCCCCAGGACATGGCTGGCTTTCTGGCCTGCAAGTGCACCCTGCCTGCTCATATCCAGTTTTTCATGCACCAGTATCCCCAAGTTCTTCTCAGGTCTGCTCTCAATCCCTTCTGTCCTCAGCCTTTATTTATACCAGGGGCTGTCCTGACCCATGTATACCACCTCACATTTGAACTTGTTCAACCTGATGACATTCACGTGAACCCACTTCTCAAGCTTGTCCACATCCTTTTAGATGGTATCCCACCTTCTGGCATGTGAACTGCACCACCCAGCTTGGAGTCACCCACAAGCTTGCTGGGGGTGTGTTTGACATGAAAATGTACTGGTCCCAGTATGGGCCCCTGAGGGACACCACTTGTGATCTCCATCCAGAGATTGAGTCATTGCCTACTCCCCTCTGGACAAAACCATCCTACCAATTCCTGATCCACTGAACCATCCATCCACAAAATACGTATCTTAACAAATTAGAAAGAAGGATGTTGGGGGAGGACCGTGACCAAGGCCTGACAGAAGACCAGGCAGATGACAGCTGTAGCTGTTGTGTTGTTCACTGATAGAGTCATTCGATCACAGAAGGACACTAGGTTGGCCTTGCCCTTGGTGGAGCTGTGCTGGCTGTCCTGAATCATTCCCCTGTCCTCTGTGTGCCTCAACATAGCTTCTTGGAGGATCTGTTCCATGACTCCCAGCAGAGGAGAAACCCCGAAGGTGAGGATGATATTCTGTCAGCTGGCAAGTTCCTAGCATCCTTCTTTCTACTCTTTTTAAAAATGGGTGAAATATTTCCATTTTTCCAGTCACCAGGGACTTGACCTGATTTCCATGACTTTGCAAGTATAATGGAGACTAAGTATCCTCCACGTGACCTAGACCTTCTAAAAATATTTTAAATGCTCAGTAATCAGAGTGTTACACTGTTGTAATGACTGCTGCTTAAGGAAAGGGTACAGTCCTTGGGGCTCACTAGTACTCAAAAAATACTTGCAGGCTGCCCTCTCATCTTCTCATAAGGCAGATCATCAAGAAAATAAGTTAATGATGGATTTTTCTTAGAAATAAGAAATTAAAAGTAGAATTATTACAATTGACTCTTGCAGAACCATTTTGCCAGTGTCCTAAACATTGAGACCAAGAACAGCCAGAATACAAAATGTCATTTTTTACTAACTGCTTAGCCTTTTTAACAAGCTTCAACACAATAAAATAAAACAAGGAAACAAGTGCAACACTTCAAATATAAATGGATAAACAGCTTAAGGGTCTTTGCTGTTACAATATCTTATTCTGGTATGAATATCATTTGCTATAGCAAAAGGAAAAGAAAAGATTAAAACATGTATCATGGTATTTGTACTTAGGCCAAGTGTTCATGAAGCCTACTGTCTATCTACAGTAGCACTTGCTAGGAGTAAAAACAGAAAATAGTGCATCACTGATATTCACTTGCTTTGGGCAGTCATTCATTACAAGATTTCAAGAGCTGGAGTTGGCATCACATTTAATAGGATGGATCTGTGTTACAAAACCTTGCAGAATTGTTTTTTGAACCTGTTTACTAGAGCAGCAGATCAATCTGTATAATCTGTAAGAAAATACATTCATGGGAGAGATTCAAAATAACTGCTTTCTAAAAGGTTTCCAGAGTTGGGTTCCATAGCAAGGAGCTCTGCAAAGGCCATTCTCAGTAGGTGATTTCGTTTTAGTATATCCCAGTTAACAACCTGAATGAGCTGATGGAACAAAACTGATAGGCAAAAATAAGTGGATTTTTGGCTCTGCAATTGAAGGAGATCACTTTTTAATAAACAGCACCAGACAGGTTATTAATCTAAAGTTTTTAGACTTCCTTTTACTCTACACTCATCAATATTTTCATATTTTCAACAATAACATAAAAGAAGTGCATATTCTGGCATGTGAATAACACACTGATAAAAATAAAACCAATGCAGAAGATAAAAAGGAATTACCTTCTTGTGGTTTTTTGCTGTATATTGCAGCCAGAATGTTTAATTGAAGCTGAAACTTTTTGCTTAGCCAGGATTATTTCTTTAGCCTAAAATAAAAATAGACAAAACATAATTCTCATTAAAGTTGACACTTTTGCTTGCAAGCATTTAAATAATCTTTCAAAAATAGAAAATTGAGAGTGTCTGCATAAATTTTTTCTTGTGACATTTACTCTTTCTGTTACATTTTAACACTCTTCACTCAGCATGAAACACAGACATAAGGCAAGTTAAACCAAATTATCTGAATGGAAATATAGTCAAACATTTATAAAATTATACAAAAAAGAGTATTTAAATATATATATCTACTTGTGTTTAAATATATGCTGTCTTGTTTAGCACCATGTTAATAATGTACATTACTGATTGCATTTCAGTTCTGGTGTCCAAGTACTTATTCTGACATTTTTATTAAAAAATCAGCTGCAGTCTGGACTCCTCACTCAAATGACAAGTGACCACAATCTCTTTCAGCTCCTTTGTTAAAACAGAAACTTAGGTTCAAAGTCCATGTGAATTCCCCTTCTCAAAGAAAACACGTCCACCATGATTTTTTGGAAGATGTGTTATTGACAAAAGGGTATCTTGCTGCAAAAGGAGACTGCAAAAGGATGTCTCTTTCCCTTCATAACAACAGCGTGGGAGAGGGATCCCTTAAGCATCTGAAAGGAGGAAGAACAGGAACTATACCAAACAGTTCATGTTATTGACTGTTTCATAGTCCAACTGATTTGAGAGCAGTCTGTTCCAGAAGCCTTGTGAATTTAGTCTCCACTCTGAACCCCAAATTATATAAAGACAGAGTCTGTAGTTTCTGTCATCTGTTTCTGGAAATTATTGTGAAGAGGCTGAACCCCTCTGATTCTGTATATACTCTGATGAGGGAAAGAAAGCCTTTTTTATTTCTACATTCCCTCATTTCAAGTGTTCTTTTTTTTTTAACATAAATTAATTCTGCTGATCCCCTTGAGACTTGTGCTTCTTACTTTGTCCTCAGAGCACACCATCAAGGATGGTGAAAAAATGTGCTGATTCTGCACTCCTGAGAAAATACATCCTTGACAAGAACTGACCTTGGAACTTAGGGAAGGGTGAGGATTTGTATAATTTGGGCTCAGTAGTAAGATACCAGTGTGAAATTTGAGGCCTGTGGTATATAAGAAAATTGACTAAATTAATATAATGAAGCTTTCTGAAAGTTATTCTATGATACTAATATTTATGATACTAATACTATGATTTCCAATATCTACGTTTTTGTGTACAGTTTTGGCCACCACAATATAAAAAATACATGAAGCTACGAGAGAGCATGCAAAGGAAGCCATGAGGATGGTGAAGGGTCTGCCCGGATGAGGAGTGGCTGAATCTCTTTGTCTCTTCAGCCTGGAGGAGATGGAGGGGAGGCTTCATTGAGGTCTTCAACATCCTCATGAGAGGAAGAGAACAGGCAGGCACTGATCTCTTCTCTCAGGTAACTAGTGGCAGGACCCAAGGGAATGGCCTGAAGCTGTGTCAGGGAAGGTTTAGGTTGGATATTAGGAAAAGGTTCTTTAGCCAGAGGGTGTTTGGGCACTTGAGCAGGCTCCCCAGGAAAGCTGTCACAGCACCAAGCCTGACAGGGTTCAAGAAGCACTTCTGACAATGCTCTCAGGAACATGGTGTGACTCTTGGGGTGTCCTGTGCAGGGCCAAGAGTTGGATATGATGATTCTGATGGGTTCCATCCAACCAGGCATATCCTATGATTCTATGATTAATTAGAAAATAGAAAATGCACCCCTTTTAAGATCATTATCAAATGATTCTAGATAGAGATGTTTTAAATAAAATCTGGAGTTTATTTGAGAAAACAGAAGGAATATGCAAAAGCCGTATTTTTATTCATATTTTCAGTTTATCCTTTTTTTTTCCTACAATGGCTTTTTTATTCTACAATGGGAATTCCTCTGTGTAACAGATTTTCCCTGAATCACATTTATGCTCAAGGATTATTAGATTTCTAGGGTTCTACAGCTGTGTCTCCACATGCCTTTGATGGTAATGAAATATTACTGCATTTACCATACCTAGATAAGTAAGAATTATATAAAGTAATTCTATCAAATAACACTGACATGCAAAATACACACCATCATTCCTATTTTTAGATTAATTAAGGAATCTAACTCTCATTGATCTTTAAATTTCTAATCTCTTTTGAAACCTCAGGCAATAAAAAGCTGTCAGCATTCATTTGTGGCTGGTAATATAATAAAGAATTAATCAAAAGTCCGAATTTTACTCTCTGACTCACTAAACTAAGGAAAAGAAAGTTTTAAAACATGACAGAGAATGTCTCAGAACCCTAAATGAAACCTGTTTGTTAATAACACCAGGACTTGATGCTTTTACCGAGGCAGTAATTAAAATGCTGGTGTAATCTACTGATGACATTTTATGAAATCATTTATTAATTTGCCAATTTTAGTCAAATTCTATTAAAGAATCTCCCAGTTTTTCATTTGCCTGCATCATCCGCAAAGATGACACTGCCAGAGCATAGAGATTCAAAATCTGGGACGCTTCATGTCACAAATATTTTTCCCACAACATGAGGCATGTACAATGTAGTCACTGTAAACACCTTACTCATGCAAAATCTCCTACAAAGGATTATTGCAGTATAAACACTACACTTTAAAAGTGTCACTATATTATTTCACTGAGCATTGTGTCCTTCAGTTTCTTTTGATGACCTTCCAAAATACGTTGGTAAACACTGCCTTAGAAAGGCACCCATTCTGTGATGATTTGCTGTGTAGCAAGTAATACGGTTAAAAATATGTTTCCAGAAATGAATGTGAAAATTATTCCTTTCTTTTAGTTCATGTAGCATTTACTATCTCCAACATCTGTGATGTGACAAGGTCATCAGAGAGGCAAGGAAAGAGGTTTTGTTTTTGTTTTTAAAGACTAGGGAACTATAAACAGGCTGGAAGATGATTGGTGAAAGGTTTATTAACCTGAACAGAAGCTCATTAAAACAAGTGAAAACCACTCAGAATTCAGATAGATTTCTGTTGTGTTACTGAGAAGAGAAGGATATTTTTAGAATACATGAAGATTATTACAGGAGACTATTTTTAGATTAGTGAACAACACTTCAGTTATGTAAGGAATGTGCTGGGCCATTTATTTATTTATCAAAAAAAAAAATACTATTTTGATAACTGTTTTTTAGGAACAAAAGGATAAAATACAGTGTAATGTGGTCATTAAGCTTGTCTTGTCACTGATAAAGCCTGAAAGAAATTGATTGTATTCTGGTCTTCCAGAATTCAAATTCCTCTTACTAAGAGGAAATCCCATTAGGTTGCTGATCTTAAACTAGTATTCTCAAGCATTGATAAAATCAGCCACAATATTCTGCAAGAAAAATACTTATTGTCCTTCCTGTTGTCAATCATTATTAATTTACCTTTCTTCCTATATTACATCCCATTAATCATAATAAAATTTGTATGGCTCAAGATCATCTGAAGAAGATCTAGGCCCCAAAAATTTTAACTGAGCACTCTATTTCAGTCCTAGGGGAAGAGAACAGATTCTGTAAAAAGAACAGTGAACAATAGATTAGTATCCTTTACATGCAATTGCAGTGAAGTAACACAAGATCCATCTTTGGTCAGTAAGTCCATGAAGTTCACAGGATCACAGAATGCTGGAGGTTGGCAAGGACCTGTGGAGGTCATCTAATCCAAGCCCCCTGCTCAAGCAGGGCCCACTTGAGCCAGTTGCCCAGAACCACTGGGAATTCTGAAGATGGTTTTAGAATATCTCCAGGGATGGAGGATTCACAACCTCCCTGGGTGACCTGTGCATGCACCTGGTCACCCTCACAGTCAGAGATTCCTGGTCTTCAGAGGGAACACCTGCATTTCAGTCTGTGCCTACTGTCTCTGGTGCTGCCACTGAGCACCACCAAAGAAAGCCTGGCTCTGACTCTTTGCACCCTTCCTTTAGGCATTTCTGCGAATTAATGAGATCCCCTTGAGCCTTCTCTTCTCCAGGCTGGACAGTCCCAGCTCTCTCAGCCTTTCCTCACAGGAGAGGTGCTCCAGTTCCTTGATCATCTTTGTGGCACTTTGCTGGATTCTCTCCAGCAGGTCGGTGTCTCTCTGGCCCTGGGGAGCCCAGCACTGGACACTGCACTCCATGTGTCTCTCACCAAAGCTGAACAGAGGGGGAGGATGGCCTTCCTCCACCTGCTGGCCATGCTCCTAACAATGCTCAGGACTCAGCTGGTGTTCTTTGACAGAAGATGGTATTGCTGACTCATGTTCAACTACGTGGAAACCAAGACTCCCTTTGCTTTTCTGCAAAGATGCTTTCCAGAATCCACTGACAACAAAGACACCATGCAGCATTCCATTCATGCATCCCTTGTTGTGTCCAAGCTACTCAAACAGTTTTAACCAAACCAAGGTTAGGTTAGAGAGAACAAAGCTGAGAACATCTACCCAGTTAGTCTATAGTGCTACTCTCTCCTCACATTTTACTGAGATGTATTCTGAGAATCATGTATTCTGAGATGAAGTATGCTCCAGAGCCTCAGGCTAGGCAAAATACGTAGGTGTAGCTAAAATATCAAGGTGGGTTAAATATAAAGTTAATAATGGAATAAAGGCAGTTCTCAATCACAATAAGAAGAGCGAATATTCATTTTGCTGATTTAGGTATGATTTTATAGGTAGGCAGCAGAGTTAATATATATCCAGATACACTTGGAAATATTTACATTTTCTAAGGCATTGATCATCCACAAAGGAACTAGCAAGATGTATGAGTAATAAAAGCAGTGTATGGGACAGAAAACGGCGAAGACAAGTTCCTATTAAACTAAAAAAATATAAATTTAAAAATTACACTATCCAAAAAGAAAAATATCAAAACAAATTTATGGAAACATAAATTCTCATTTGAGTGAATTTTGAACATTCAGAAAAAATCTACCTTAACCAAATAAGTACAATTTTCAGTATTCTTACATTTTTGGCAAAAATGCATGTTTGATGGTAGTGACAGTTTGTGATTCGATGAGGGGCTGTCCTCTTAGGGACAGACAGATGGTATGGGACTGGAGTGTAGAAGGGAACATAGAAGGTAATAACCACAAAAGATAAAGCCAAAAGTTAGAGCTTAGAATTAAATCAGAATCACAAAGTGAAAAAAATGACCCCATATAGCAGGTGAGGCTATTTCAGCTAAATAGCTTCTTCCTTCAGAAGGAAATGCTGTATTTGATATATTCTGGTGAGCTCACACATACCCTCTGCCCTTACACAACAGATACATTCCCTAAAGGGGAGAAGAGTAAGGCTAGAGCACCAAGAGATTGTTTTTCTACTGTATCCCTGGGCAGGATTACCATATTTCAAAAGCCAAAAGTATAAGATGTCCTACAGAGGCCTTGAAAGCAACCCAACCCTCCCAAGGCAACAGCAGAAGATGCTGCAGTTGATTAACTTCTCCCTCAGCACCCAGAACCCCACTATATAATCCATTCTCATCTCTGGAACTCCACCTCCCTAGAACTTCCAGCTCCCTGTCTGCTCCAAGCAGTTTCAGTTGAAACACCATGTTCTCACAGCCTTCTTGCTCTATGGTCTCAGTAATTTGTACAGCTGGTCAGGGGATCTTTTCCAGCCAGGCAGAGCATGAAGGGAAAATGAATTAAGCAACTCTTTTTCCAAACACATGAGAAATGAGAGTAGTGCATCATCCCTTTATTTGAACAAATATGTAACCTTCATATTTATGTGTGCCACACAAATTTTGATAAACTGATTTGTTCTTATTATTTCACAAGTGGGAAAAGGAAGTAGATTTTTCATTTTAAAAAAAGCTATCTTCTTACACATTTGCACAATACCGCATGTTTTGAACAGTCTTTTTTAGCATATAAAAAAGCTGATCTTGCTTAAAGTAAAAGAAATACAAATTTCTATTAATACTGATTTTCATTGTGTTCCTGTAGGGGAATTTTAAATACTAAGGCTTGGCTCTGCAATTAAATTGTCTTTATGCAATGCTCCTTTTTTGGAAAATATGCCCTGATGGGAAAGGCCAGACTGCATATCTTTAGCAAGCCAGATGATACCTGTAACTCAGAAACATTCCCAAAGTACTCACAACATTTAAGGACCTTTGTGTGATGTCTCCTATTTTACATACCTTTGGCATGGTGACAACTAAATGACCAGTTGTTTGTGATCTTTTAGCAGAGCTGCTGTCTGGCTTCACTTCCTCAGGGAGCACAAGCTGAAAAGGCTACAAGACAAAATGGAATTGAAGTATATCATGCTAAAATATCTTTTTCTTTCTTTCACATGGACAAAACAAATACAAAACCACGACTATCACATCCTTTGATTTTAAGGACACTGCAGGTCTAAATGCTTTAACTTTAGGTATGGTATTACTAAACCTAATAAATTATGCTAAATAGTTTTGCTTACAAGTAGAGTCAGATGTATGTTCCTGAATTGCTGCCATTCCTGAAGTGGTATTTCTAAAGAAGGTTATAAAATGATGCTTGACTTATATTAGCAATTAAATGAGAAAGATTATCCAGTCTATTTAGACATAAATCAATTCTCAAGATTTGTTTATGCAGTTGGCTCAGTTAAAAATAGGGATTTTGGTTTACTGTGGAAGCACTCTGAATTTTTTTTTTTTAATAGTGATAAAATTAAAACCACCAAGAAAAAAGAAAACCGGAATGACATTTTCAATGCCCTTCCAAAAGAACATACATCCATTGGTTTCTGTCAGCTATAAATTCCAGATTGTGAAATTGCTAAATTCTAGCCTAGGGCAACTAGGAAGCTCTCTTCTAAAGTGAATTATGGTACATGAAGAGAGGAGAGAAGGAAAGTGAAATTTTATTTCAGGCTTTGTACATCTTCTGGTTAGGACTTCCATAGTTTATGTGTGGTTCAAAATGATGTTGGTGTTGAAAGAACATTCTCTCTGCATAGATGCAAATGACTGGTAACTTACAGAAGTCAGATCCAGAGTCCACTGAATAACTGTGGCAAACATTAACTCTTTATCTGAAATGAATGTATAAGAAATCACGCACCTTTCCCTTCACCAGTACTCGTATGTAAGTTGGCTGCACATCAACATCAAGTAAAGAAGTGTCCAAATGTCTTCAGAATGAAATATAAATAAATTAATCAATCTACAATAGACCACACAGCTCTTTCAAAGTTTCAGTTTATAAAGCACAAGCTTAAATTTCAGTTATTAAATTTTCCAAAATACTATTAGGATTTAAAGTTTTGGGGAAAAACACCCCATGATCTTCCTGTGAATGTCACTTATAATAATGTCTAAATTCTGTCAAGTCCGTGACATTAGCTATTGTATAACTGCAAGGATTCAAAATCCTTGAGGAAAACAAAAAGGTCTTTCATCTGTTAGTTCAGTGCTTTACATTAATATGAAAATTAATCAATATACTATTTAAAATTGCGAAAATAATTTGTTACTTTTCCTTCTGAAGGTTTTACTACTAAAATTATAATAGAAATTCCCTTTTTTTTTTGTAGAGAATTTGCTGGAAAACAAAGAATAGATATACTCTCCATTCCCAGAGAACACAGTAACTTCAAATCTTTCAAACAAAATTTGTGGCCTGTAAAAGCTCCACTTTTACATCTGCTCTTCACTATGTGACACCTGATGTGACTCATGGAAATAAAAAAGTACATATTTCCCATTTCCCTTATTTTATAATGTTACTTTACAGGTGAATTTTTCAAATGTTTTAGTCTGCATTTCTTACAAGTAAGCACAGACTAATAAAATATGGACTACCCAGGGTCCCAAAGTGTTCAAGAAATGACTGTACGTGGCACTTAGTGCCGTGGTGTAGCTGACAAGGTCATGATGGGTTAAAGGCTGGACTTAATGATCTTGAAGGTCTTTTCCAACCTAAATGATTCTGTGATTCTGTAGTACATCCAGCAATTTATTGCACCTAAATAGATTTTTTGAGGTTCTAGGAAAAGATCTGTATCTTTTAAGTCAGAAACAGAGCAAACCACTGTTGAGGGAAATCAATGACTTTCAGGGGAAGCACACCTGGCATGAATAATATTTTAGTGCTATAAAACTAGTTCAAGTTTTATGTAACAAGTTTCTATTATGGATAGATAAAGTTGTGGGTTTCCAGCCCCTTCCTGAAGAATGGAAAAGGTCTCATGCCAGCTTAGCAGTATATCTATGACCTCCTTGTCATATTTTGCCTGATTCAACCAAATTTCTTTCAAGCAATGGTCTGGTACATTTCAAGAATAGGCATGAGCCATGGACTCTTTCTGCTAATCAAGGAAAATAAGACAAATCTACTCTACTTTGTCTCAGGGAGAAGAATGTAACTAGAAGTACATGAACTGTACTGAAGCACTTCTAGGGCCAAAGCATGAGCAAAAAACCTACTCCTTACAGCCTTTATCTGCAAAGGAAGAATGGAAAAGATTTTACATATGTGTAAGAGAACAGGTGTGGAAGACACCTGTTCTGCCTGTGGGCTGCAGAAAACATCAGTTCCCAAAAGGACTATTGGACACAGCGTCCATTCAGGATTAACACAACAGTCTGAAGGGCCTTTGGCTTATTCAACTTCACTTCTTTGGCACAGGTTTTGAGATTGGTTCCATTATCCACTACATTATTTGTTTTCTTCTTGAAAAGTCCCCGTTACAGAAAGCAGTGTAATTGAAACACTGTGTATTATATCTTATGAGTGGCAAAAATTATTGGGAAAAAAGATCTGACCTGTAAACAGCAAGATCCAAGATGATCTGGTTATTTTCTTCATCATCTTTCAGAGAGAAATGAAGCCTAATAACAATGACAAGAAACACCTCCAGGATAAATACTACTGGAGTGAATAAGCAAACATTACAGCATAGTTCAAATGTTAGCAATTTTAGACGAATATAAACACCATTTAGACAATATGTAATGTGATTATTTAGAAACAGTTGCAATTTTCCCCACGAACAGAAAAAAAAATGGCATTTGAGCCAAGGTCACTCTGATATTTATTTTCTGTTCTCCCTACTCAAACCACAAGAAAAAGAAAAAAAATCCTCTGCTGAATGTCAAAGTAAGCTTATTCTGACAATGCAGAACGAGAGACATCTGCTGGTGAAACCTGTTACTCTATTACATCTTCACAGAAAAAAAGAGTTCCAAAATGCATGAAAAACACAAAACTTTTTAACTCTGATCTTATAGTATGTTTTAAAAAAAATGCACTTTTGTTCATAGTAATTAATTTGCCCCAAGTAGAACGTCTGTGCATTTCCTGAGTAAAACCTGATTTGCATAATATTCTTGATTCTATAAGCTTTATATTTGAAAATGAGCCTGTAGATTGAATTAGCTGTGTGTTTGTGATGTGTTGGCTGTGTTCTTAAAATTGAGACTGAATCTTACCAGTTATAAATTGATGCCATATATTACTACAACTGTAAGGAGATCTAGTTTAGGCTTACAAGTTCTGCTCATATGCTCAAACATCTCCCATGTATGATAGCAGAGAAAAAACAGAATGAAATTACCTACAAATGAGAAGCTTTTGATAAATTAGTTATTAGTATAAAATAAAAGGATTTTGCTTAATATAATTTATCTGGAGTATTTCAGTGACATTAAAGTACTTAGATGTGTTTAGGTAATGGAAAGATGCTCAAATGGTAACAGATCAGATGATACATTTTTTCAGCAATAAAAATATTTGCCAGATAGTTTTCACTCTTTGTTCTCCTATATTCTAGAACAGTCAATTTGCAAGAAAGTTTACAAAGCGTTGTAGTTTATGGGTATTTTTTAATGGAAAAGTGCAAAGAATACAAAACAGCTTTATTTCCTGTCTGACTGCATCACTGATCTTGAGAATCCACTAAAACATGAAGGGTGAACAAAAGGACAAAACTGTAACATTTTCCAGGAGGAATCTTAATTAGAACTGAAGAAGAGAAATAGTCTGTCCTCAGCAGCAAACAGCCTTTCCTCTTGCTAACTTTCCAAAAGAACATCAGAGAAATCTGGACATTTTTATGGACATGAGACTTCCACGTTGAAGCAAAAACTTTGGAGAACACCATCTGCTTACTTGTATCTATTTCTTTATGTCTCTCCAATAACTGCCAGATTGCACTGAACAGCTGTGACATTCTTGAAGTCATGACAAAAAATGTTCATTGGTCTGGCTTTATGTGGGCACATCCACAGACTAAATTCAGGAAACTCGGGTGACACAAACAGGGATGCTACTAACAGTGAACTCTGTTTCTTCTAAAAAAGGTAGTAGAGATTTAGTCTAAATGTCTCTGCTTTTTAGAGGCACAAGCAAGTTCTATTAACACAAGATTTAAATTATTTTACACTTATCTTTTCGGATTAGAAAATTATACAATTTTTTTTTTCAGTCAACACATTTTTACTGAAAAAAGTACATCAGTACAATGGAAAGTGTAGACAGACTAAACATGGCTCTACATGACACTAAACATGATACTAAACTCTTCCACTACCTTTAATTCTCTCTGTTTTACTGAAAACTGTGCACTACATATAATTTCTTGAATTTGCAAGGATTTCTAAATTTCCAAGATTTAGAAAGCAGTCTTCATGCTAATGATAAGCATGTTCATAGATTTGGTTTTGCAGCTAAATTGTTATTAAATGGAAAAACTCAAGAGAACAGCAAAGAGGTAAGTGGCCACTTTCTCATGCCAGCGTCCTGCAGGAGCCCCTGTGGGGAGCTGTTTATAAGGAATAATGTTTACACAGAGTCTCTTGCTTTCTATTAGAAAATGAAGGTTTGATTCAAGTAAAATCAATGGCTGATATAGCTGGAAACTCATTCCAAAATACCCAAACCCCAAGTGCCTTTGTCAAGGGTAAAACACAAGACACTTCCCTGTATCCCCATCCTCTGTTGCTGCAGGCCTCACTCAGGGTCACAGGGCCTCAAGCCACAGAAGCTGATTATCCTGCCCAATTCTGCCAGTTTTACACCTGTCTTCAGAGAACAGAATGATTTTCTCTGGAAATGTTACTGGGATGTATTTTTTTACATTTAAAGTGACTTCTCATACACATTTATCTTCAACAATTAAAATTTTTATACTATTAGAAAGATGATCCAAGAAAGAGCCTTACTACAGAAGGAAAAAAGACCAAAAAAATCTTAGAAAAACAAGTTCTTCAATCTTTAAAGACAAAGATGTTAAATTAAACAATCCTCAACACTTAACGCAATGACAACTGATTCTTTTTCCAGCATCAGAATATAAATTTAGCATACAGTTTTCCCACAAGGAATATAATATTGCAACAAGAATTTCTCAGTCGTCCTATTTTTGGATTGTCTCATATATTGAAATAGTTGCCCAAATCAACTACAGAGAGATTAGACTGTTTAACCTCTTAACCTTACATACTTAGGCACATTGACATTCAGAACTTTTCCTTCTGCAGTGACCAATGTCCAAGCAGTCTTCTCTCTCTTTTTTGATTCCCTTAACAAAACAGAAAGAAAAATTATTTATGATTAATCATTAAAAAGTTGCATTATTATGTATAATAGCAAAAATAAAGAAGATGGTCAGAAGAGGTAAGAATTATCTGGTATTTGATGTTAAGGCTACAATTTAGTTCAGGAACAAAACAGATGTTCTCAATGTCACATTGAGAACATCTAAAGATGAGCAAATACATGACTTACATGGATAGTGACTTCTTCTGTATGTCACCATGTCCATAATCAAACAGAAATATTTCAAATTATCTGGTATACCACAAGAAAACCATGGATGGCTTACATCTATGAAATGGGACATTTTTCTATTTCGTTTTTTCTAGTCAAACTCATCATGAGGTGTTGCCACTGATAAATAGCTTGATGTATGGGCAAGCAATTCTACAGAGTTTTTATTCATGCTCAGTGATTACTCCTACTGAACAACTGCTTGGCCTGCCTCCAAACAGCATCTCTCTCTCAATCACTATTTTGCTCTAGCAAAAAGAATTTTAATGGTCAAAAGATTAAAAGCAGCATCAAATAGGATACAGTAGGACCAAAAGGCAGACATATAGATTATTTGTTGATGCATATATTACATTTTTTGTTGTGTTCTTTGTTCAAAAAATGCAATACCTATTCCTGTTTTTTTGATGATGTACTGATATATTACTTTAATACTCACTATCCATTTCCAGCTATTAGCAATTAAACTATGTCTGACTTTCATTAAGTACAATAAACTAGCTAAGATAAATTTATCTGCCCAAACAAAGTAGATCACAGTAACACCATTAAGACTTGTAATACTGGTATTTTCCTGTGTAAATGTTTAGCTTATGAGCAAGGGAAGGAAGAGCAAGGAATCTTAGTAACATGAAAAATAAAAGTCTGCTCACAGCTAAGTAAAAATACTGAGTTTTCTTTAAAAATACAGCACTGTAATTGTCATGTTTCATTAATCCACTCTTCAGCTGGTCAATATAGTGGGTATGGTCACTTTAGTCAGTATATTAAAAGGGAAAACATTTCTCAAAAAAACCCCAACAACAATCCATTGCTTCTTTTTTGTTCCTGAACCTATTTCTTACTATAAATTCAAGATTAAGACCATGTTAAATGTAAATCACTAATGATAGATATAAAATATTATTGATTTAGAACACCTTGGGGAAAAAAAACCCATAAAAATAGACCTGGTCTATAAATACAATGGATTTGAAGAAGAAATAAAAACACTTCAATAGATCTACTGAAACAACTCATAAAACCAGTTTCTGTTTAAGAAATACAATTATCCAAGTGTTAAACACTATTCTATAATAAAAATCAGCTTTTATGTGGGATTTGTGGGCTGCCAGTCTCCACACCTGAATTCCTAGACTTGACACTTAAATGCAAAGTGAATGAACCACCTCTCTGTTCAAAATATATTCTCAGAAACACTTCAGAAATTATATTCTACCACCTGTTAGCTTTTAATAATCTGTTCCCAGATGAAACTATTTATTCATGTGAACCATTTTAAGGAGATGCCATGAAATTTTCTCAACACCAAATCAAAATGACCATTGAAAAGATTTTTAAACTCTTTTGATGCCTTGGAAATTTAGAAAAATTCAGAAATTAATTATTCTATCTTTATTATAACACTCTTTGGACTGTCCTTGAATCTTTAAATTGAAGCATTTGGAACACATTTGCTTTCAACTTGAGCAAGGCATTTCCAAACACAGCAAAACTCAAACTGGCTAGAATCTGAGTTTCACAGAAGTTCTTCCAGGAACTTGAATTAATAATAGCAACAAGTTATGCACATTTCCAGATTTCCTGGAGAATTCCCTTGGACTGACTTTTTCAATACTTAGCCTTGACAAAAAATTTTTAAAAGCAAGCCCTTAAAAAAAACAGCTACAAAAATCTCCAGCACAAAGTATGTTGTATAAGTAAAAGAGAGAAAGAAAGAAAAAAAAAATGTAAACAAAAAGACATTGTTTACAACGTCTGTGGAACTGATAAGCCAGCAGCAATAAAATACTGGGTTTTTTTGCTAGTATCTGCATATATTTTGCATGTTCAGTAAAACAAGTAACAAATCTATAAAGTTTTAAAGACTTTTCAGGGACCAGACTTCTGATTCACTATGCCAAATAACATAAAAGAATCTTATAACTTGTGACAAATATTTTTGATAAAGTATGAGAAAAAAAATTCTCAGTTACATGGAAAAAGTGCCTGAAATGCCACTTGTGCAAAAACCTTGTAGCATGGCCTGCATTACATAATGCAATCTGCACTATGGATAAATGTTTTTAGCAGAATGTTAAATGTTGAACTACCCAAAACAGCCAACAGAAAAGTGGAACTTCTAAACTCCATATAAAGAAGTTAAAATATTCAAAAACTCTGAGGAAAACTAAAATAAGAAGTACCTAAATGAAGTGTAGAAAATAATACAAAATAAAATCAACAATCTGAATATTTAGTTTAGACTGTACATGCCTCTTTTAACAAGCAACAGAGATTTAAGCTGTCAGTTCTCAGTAATATTTAATGTCAGGCAATCATCTATCTGCCTCTTTTCTGCCCCTCTGAAAATTTCTCCTTCAATTCATCAAAGATATTAAAACAAAGAAGTACCTTCCATTGTCTTTAGCTCTCCGTTTTTCTTCAATATATCTGTGAGTTTCTAGTCTAGATTCTGGAGTATATGGTGTAGGCTCCTCCCAAAATTTTCTGTCTTCATCATCATTTTCAACAGTTCTGCATCTTTCCTGCTCTCCATCTCCTTCTGCCTGATTGGGTTTTTCCTGTGGGGAGTCTGGGCTATACAAGATCACTGAAATGTTATCCCAAAGAAATGAAGGAAGAGTAACTTGCTAATAAATTACTGCAATCATATTTTTTCAACCCAATAATAACAGTACAATTCCTACCAATAATTGTATTTTATATATTTGGAGAACATTCTCTACTCTGCTTCTTTTGTCAATCAACAAAGCATATTTTGACATAATGCTCTTCATTTACCTGGCTATGAAGTGGCTATACTTAATCCCCTGAAAACCCTGATACATAGTTCAACAGATTTAATTTCAGAAAAAGAATTTTCAGACACCCTCACAACTTTCATGTGAGAAAAAACCTTCAGTCCATGTGCTGTTTAAAATTTCCCAGTATTAGGCAGGAACAGATTAAAAATTTATAAGGTAGCAATGAGTATCTCCTCAAATGCAATCTTAACACCTGAATAATTTTGGTTCCCTAGCTCTAAGCTTCTGTAAATCTCTATCAATAGAGAGAGAAAACTAAATTTATGATACAGATGTGAGGATTGAGGACAAAGTTCTGCAGGCAGCTTCATGAAATAGTTTCTATGGGATTAAAAATAAGATGGATGGCAAGTGCAATAGAAGGTGACCCCAAACAAAAATCCTGCTGCTGTCTAGGTAATGTCAGTGGCAGGAAGTGGAAGAAGTAGGAAAATCAACACCAAAGGCCTGCAATATTCCATTTCAGTCTTCAGATGACAAAGATAATGCTAAGGCAAAAGCATTTATAGATGAACAGCTGCTTTCTCTGGAACCCCTGCTTTACCTTAAATAAGAATTTCCAGCTGTTCTCCTGCAAGAAACTATTAATTACACTATTTTGGCACCCAGACAACTCAGCTTGGAGTTTTGGGAGAAAAAATTCTAATCAACTCTGTCTGCAGGTCAATAATAAATTATGTTTGTAACTAATTATAGTTTTCATTAGAAATAATAGGCATGAGGAGAAATAACTCTGCTTGAATCAACCATAAAGATGAACAAAAATATATAAGTGGAATTATATTAACTCTTTGATGGAAAAAGCCAAACTTGTGAATAAAGAAAGAATAATGTTTACTCAAAAACTGTTGTTGTTTACTGTTACCTGTCAAATCCAAACTTAGAGTCCATCTGTTTCTGTTTCTCATCCTTTCTTTCTTGCATTCTTCTCTGAGCCTCTTCCTTTTCTCTGGCTCTTTTCAGAAGGTAAGCTTGTTCCTGTTCTCTGATTTTCCATTTCACTTCTGGATAGTTTTGAAGGGCTTTAATCCTCTCTGAACGTTCTATTTCTTTACTATCCAAATACTTCCCAAAGGGGAAAAAAATCAATGTAAATATGTGAGAAATTATAAACATATTCAAATCAATAAATCTATTACTTATAGTTTCATTTTCATAATTTAAGTTTTGTCTATAATTAGGCATGCATCTTTCACATATTAATAGCACTATGTAAGTTATACTTTATTACAAAGAATTAACAATAACTTGCTATTCAGATCTGAAAATGGTTTTGTGTGTCTAAGATCTGCTTTTAGCATTTTCCAGGAATTTTAATTAGTTGTATTAGACTATACAGTAGAGAGAGTCCCTTCAGCCATCTCTGGTCTCTGATATTGATTCAGACCAAAATTATTTCTTTTGGTGTCTAAGTTTATTGCCAACTGAGTAAGTTGAATCTACTCTTAATAAGTTAAGCAGTGCCTGTGCTTCTCTGAGGAAAATTGTGAGAACATACTTCAGGCCTGACACTGTTTCATTGACAGGAAATGGTTACATCAGTTCAGTCACAGCACAAAACCTCAAAATCTCAAAGTACGTATTTTCAGCCAATACAATGTAGTGCAATTTTACACCAACTTGTATTTTTTTACTGTCTCACACTGCAGGTTTAGTACATATTGTTGGAATAATACCAACAACTCACTAACTTCCTGCAATTGTGCTAATAATTTAAAAATACATTGTATATAACAACCATGAGGAAAAAGTGTCAGAACTGTACATTTATTTGAAAAAAAAAATGAAAAACTTTTGTTTAAGAATCTCCAATAAAGATTAAAGAAAAGTTAATGAATAATTGTGGTTTCATCAGAATAGAACCAATTATTATCATAGCATTTATTGTAGTAATTTATTCTTTGGAATAAAATTTAATTTCCTGTAAACATTAAGAAAAAGTCTATTAGATTTCCAAGTACAGGTGTTTATTTTGTTTATGACAAGTATGTTTAGCCAACAGTACTCATATTTCATCTGGATTTAAATTTAAGTTTTAAAATCTTACTTTTAATTGCTGAAGAGTTGCCACTACAAATTGTCTATAACCTTCAAATTCAGTACATGGGTTACCCATTAGAAACAATTCCTTCAGGTGAATATTACATTTTAGGGATTCAATACTGGAGAGTTCACCAATGAAATTTGCTGTCAGGTCAAGTTTCTTCAATTCTTCACAGCCTGTTTGAAAGAAACCTTAATTCAATTTGTCCATAACATAACTGTACACGACATACATACACACACATGTACACACTTGGATATAAAACTCCATTTGTGTTCTGTAAACTGGTTTCATTCTACCAGAACACATCTTTTCCAAGACTGAGTAAAAAGAGTGACTCACAGCTAAAGTTTATGAGCTTACGATATTTACAGGAATAAAAAAGTCAATAAAATACAAAACACCATAACATTGTTGGCTTTATCAGTATCAAAACTTTGTGGACATTAATAGAGAAGCTATTAAATATTTAATTTTCAGATAAGCTGGATTTCATTTTAACAGTCTGATTGCCTCGAAACCCCCTCTCAGTTAAATCTCAATCATATGGCTAAAATCCAACCCAATTGCTTAAAGATAGTAGGATCAATTATGAGTTCCAGTTCTGGGTATGGTTAATCTCTGGCAATATTATTCAAGTACAAAGAAAAGATCTCCCAAAAACTCACTGTAAGTTAAGTTTTCCAGTCTGTGGACTCAGCTGTCATCGTAAATACTTTATCACTGGTTAAATTGCAAATACTGGTGAGAACGTGTACTAAAACAATTCATTACAAACAGAAACTCTAAATTAGGTAAAAAAATGATCTAGAAAATAGATTTTTTAATTTATTAGCCTTTCCTTTTATCATAATGTGTCCATGAATCATAAACTTGCCTCTAAGAATAAAAAGTTTAACTGAGAGCAAGTTTAACTTTGATTTACATCACTGTAATCACTTTCCTTTCCTGGTCTATTTGCTAAGTTTTATGCACAGTTGAGCTGTAAGAAAGTAAACAACATAGAACAATTTATTGGGGATTTAAATAACCCAAATTTATGCAAGGACTAATCCCAAAGGTTGTAACTCCTAAGTAAATGACAAATCACAGTAATAAATAATACAGCCTGATAGATTAATTCAAAATTTAGTGCCATGAAAACAAATGCAACTTTCTCAGCAAATTCCTAAATATGTACTACACTATCTACTTCTTCACCATTTTAAAATTTGTGTTTAGACTATTTGCTTGCTCCTTATTTAAGCCATCCTCTTGAATCAGCTTGCAGACTTAAAAACATGAAGTAAACCAACAAACCACCCAACTAAACCAACAAAAGAAAAACAAAACAAAATGAAAACACACACACACATACAAATAACCAACCAACCAATCAGTTCGTTTGAGTTTTTTTTTTTTAACTGTTACTTTGTCAAGGTGGATATATTAAAGATCAGCAACTGGCCTAATCAGAACTGAGAAACAGAAAGCAATCAAGTTATAAATTATTCAAGTCATATGGCATGTGTTTATGGGTCGCTCCAAGTCTTAGATTTTAATCTTGGAAAATGCCATATTTTGCACATGAAATGCAAACATGCACATGAAATGTGCAAAAGTGACAGGATAAAGGATTAAACACAGAAAAAACAGACAGGATTTCAAGCCATGAAAGAGAAAAAAATCCTCTGAAAACCTTTAAAAAAAACTCAGACCCTCAATGCAACCTGTGCTGAGCACAGAACCTCCTTGTGTGTGACATTTGATTCCTGAAGATAAAGCGTGACCTGGAGACATTTAGGAAAGTTCAATGAGAAAAATTCAGCAGTAGGAAGTGTTTGCTACAAAGAAAAACTTACTGAAACCCTGCACCCAAGGATCCTCTACACAGTCACAAAATACCCCTACAGGTGAGGACACTTAATGGCTTCCACCCTCTTTTACTCCAAGTCACAACTTCAGTGTTCTCGTATGAAAAGGCAAAATGGCTTTTTTCAAAATCTGACCTTCCAGATTTTCAATTCTTTCAATGTTGTTCAAAGCTACATTTAAATATTCCAGCTTCTTTAGTTTGCCCACATTTTCTGTAACAAAACATAGATGGATTATTTCAGTTTTCAGCACTGGAAAGGATAATATGGTTTCACTTGCTTACTTCAAAGCAACTATGATGCAGAAAAATAAGAAAGGACAAATCAGAGTATGTACCACATTACTGGACATTAATATTTTAAAGTTAATAAAAAGACCAAAAATTTTCTGAAAACATAAAATAAAAAAGCAAAAAGAAATAAGTTAAGTTATAAACACATTTTTATCACAAATCCATAAAACACATATCTAATTCAAGAGGAATGGCTGAAAAAGCACAGTGAGACATTCTATCTTGGGAAATGTGAGATATCTACAAATTTGGTGACATGAATCCTACCACAGTTTACGAAGAACTTGGAGAGGTATTTTCTACAGAATTCACTAATTATGACATCAATTTCTCAGCAAGAACTTGTGCAGCTTAGTTTGGATGTTTGTTTTTGTTGCAATATTTCTGTAATGAAATTAATATTTCTGTATTTCTGTATGATGTGAGAGCTGTGTTGAAGCCACTGCTACCACTCATGCACACAGGGGATGCCTGACAAGCCCCTGCCTGCTCATGTGGCAGGTCTGATCTCAGAAGCTGCATCAAGGTTTGCTTTAAGAGAAAAGCCGCAGCCCAACAGAGCCAATATAAACCATTTATTTATTATATTCAGAAACATTCTTGGAACTGCTGGGTCCTGTGCTGGGTCCTCTGCAAGGAGATGTTGGTATCCACTGGGAAGAAAAGCTTCTCAGCTCCAATACTGTGTAACAGCCTCTGCTGACAATGATTTTGGTCACCACCATAGTGTGGGGAGGGGCTGGTGGTGATTGTTTTGGTTGTTTTTTGGTTTAGGGTTTTTTTGTTTCATTTGTAGTTAAGGTATTACCTCGGAAAGCTGTCATATTATACAAGAATACATGAATCAGCAAGTTGAATACTTTTTCAACTCCTACAGTTAGATTATGGTAACATAAAAATGAAATTGCTGAAAAAAATGTTGTGTTAAAAAAGCAACAATCTGAATATCTGTGCTAACCTGAAGGAGACCTGAGTGTTGACAGAAAAACCACAAGAACTAATACTGTGATATCAGTGTCTGTGGTATATGGTAAACTCTTAGACTCTCTGCCACAAGATGGGATATTTAGAAAATATCCTTATTTTTGAAATTTAAATCCATGAAAGGTGTTTCACACTCATATACTAGTGACTTCTATCTCAGTAGTATCTTTTTAATTTAAAATTTCCCTTGCAAATTCCTGAGCTTCTTAGAAATTTAATAAAGAAAGCAGGAAAAGGACTCTTGTTAGGAGCACAATCCCTTACATATAGTGGAATTTTTTTTTTCTGATTTCAAAATTATGCATGTGAATACATTTTAAAAGAATCATACTGACAAAAGACGTACCAATTTTCGGAATGAGATTATTCTGAAGATAGAGAATTTTTAAATCGCGACACCATTTGTCAAGATGCTCTAGCTTTTCTATTTCCTGCTGATGTAAAGAGATTTCTTCCAGTGAAAAAATTTCACAGTTGTTATGTTCTGCACGTCTCCTAACAAGATCTTCAGTGACTGAAAGAAACATTAGATGTCATATTTTCCTGTAATAATTTTCTGCCATCTGACTTAGGAGCAAATTATAAAATCATTAAAATACTTTGTTCCACCATACCAAATACCCAGTAGAAATGACAACAAAAGTAAAATCTGCCAGAAGAGATATCAAGATATCAAGAACCAAGTAGCTTTGACCCACTCTGCCACAGTAAACATCTTTTGTGAAACACAATCACGTCACCTGTAACATTTTGAAAGATCCATATGAAAACTGCTGAGACTTCCATAAGGATGTGATACAACCCTTGCAGAAATTAATCCAGCAGCCACTATTTTCAGCATAGCTTGGGTTGCAGATTGATTCATGTAGACAAGTAGTGGAGTGTTTTATGCTGTTTTATTTCCAGATGCCAGATGTTCACATCCCAGACAGCAGCAGGGGGTGGGGGGGAAGCAAACTACAGTGTCATCATATTCTTCCAGCAGCACAGCGTGCACAGAAATAAGCAGGATAAATGCTGAAAGTGGGCAGATATTATTTATGTCATAACTAACTCATGCTTATAAATGTTTATGTTAGAATGAAATGTATACCTGGTATTTCTTAGGCACTACCAGCTCATCAGAGCCAGCAAAGGAGTTTCAGTGGCTGAAAAACACCAGAGACCTGGGCTCAATTATCATGCTGCAATATTTAATGCCAGGCAGTCTTTCAAACAGTAAAAAGGCTCTGTATAATAAAGGTAAAGAAATTCTACAAAAACCAGTGCTCACTCCTGAGCTAGATGCTAGAACTTTTTTTCCACCACACTGCACCAAAAAGTGTCAGCATTTTCCTCTCCTTGACAAGCACTGGACTGTAGTGAAGTACTGAGGAAAAAAAACCAGGGTTTTATCAAGTTAGCATAGGTATTTTCATGATTTTTAATGCTTAAAAAAAAAAAGACAAAAAAGTCTTACAAAAAGGATCTGAAGAACAGTGAGTAAAAACAAAAAAATACATAATGATCTGTGAACATAAACTTCCTACCATGCATTAATTAAAAGTACTCTTTACTTCTTTGTTTCAGGGAGGTTTTGTGAAATCATCCAGTTTTATTAGTGGTCCTGGAATGGCTGCACACATTCACATGGACCAGCAAACTGTGTACCAATACAGCCCAAACTCTCATGTGTCCATACAGCTCCTCTATCTGCAGTCTTTAGGAAAGGGGTACAACTGGTTGTGTTTATATTATATTATTTATAGATTCCCAGGCTTAAATCTCCCTTCTACTCAAAAGAGTTTTACCTGATAGAATTAATTTACAGAATTAAATGTGGAGATAAAGATATTGGTTGAAGGGGGGAACCTGTCTGCAGATAAATCATGTTGGGAAAGGTGTCTTTGTCTCTTTTAACCACATTGAGGAGGTTTATTGCATCTGAATAATCATCTTCCACTTGAACTTGATTAAAGTAACAGAGAAAAGAGAAAAAAAAGTCAATAACTGCGGCTTAATACTTCAGTCTTCACAGTAAATATGAAAAAAACATTGACATTTCTAATAAGTTACTTGACAAATCTGCTGGAAATTGAAAGAAAAAAAAGTCTGCTTACTACTGTGTTTGGCTGCAGATTTTTCAGTGCCACTATTACCAGGTAATTTTGAGCAGGAAAACAATACTCCCCAATCTGGACACATACACACTGGTGGCAATATTATGCTTTATACCCTTTATACAAAAAGAAGTCATAGAAACTATTACTGAAAGCTTAATTACAGCCCAATTTCCATTTGCTGATGAAAATTGAAAATATTTTTTCACTCATTCTGCAAAAATGTCTACTTTCATTAACAGATTTTTTGCAAAGAAGAGACAGTCTTTCACAACAGAAGCTACAGTGAAGCTTCAGAAACCAATTTGAGATCCTGTTGTAGGGAACTGCCTGAATATTTGACATTTTGTGTAAGATCTAGTCCATTTACGAGGAATGAGGGAAACAAGATTGCAAGAGAAAACACGTATTAAATAAAATTTTAAATAACAGCAGCTCCAGGACATTGACGAACACACTGAACTCACTAAAAAGTTCATTAACCAGATTTTCTGGTGTTGTGTGCAGTAAAAAGAGACTGGAGCAGCAACCTGAGAGACCACAGCTACTCCCAAGTTCCCTTGAACACAGGAGGAAATGAGGGATGGCATCAATCAAGTGGAGAGAACAGATCTTGAAGTTCTAATGCCTAGGCTTCCAAAAATGACATATTTTACTCAAAAAAATGAAGCAGAAATGAATAAAGAAATTGAGGGAATAAGCAGATGGACAGCTGCAGGTGATGGTGCTGCATTTCAGGAAAGTGAAGTATGCCAGCATTACTTTAAGACTCAAATTCATGCTGCACAGTTCAGGAGATAAAGTCATTCTCCTTCAGGCAGTGCCTGCTCCAAGAGGGCATCTGCCAGCTCCCTGCAGGGAGAAGGAGCTCCTGTCCAACGCACTGTGTCAGCCCAGCATGGGACTGGCAGCCCAGTGATAATATACAATCAAAACAGATTACAAGAAAAATCACAGAGGAAGGGAACTCCTTTCTCATGAGTAAAAGGTGTGAGCACTCAGTCTTTGGGGTCATACTGCTGTACCTGTAAAAGATGATCAATCCATAAGTACCAGTACAGAGTATTTTACCCCATTTAGTTTTTCCACGTCTGACAATTCTGAGCTCTGACATGAGCCATCCTATCCAGCATCCCCCTTGCAGGGGCTGTCCCACACAAAGAGGGGTCCCCACCTGCGCCACCCCAGTCCCCACTGCTGGTCCTCTCAGGGGCTGCTTTGGGAGGCAAGGAACTTTAATATGCTTTAATGTGGAGATAAAATGGGGGTTATTGCCAGGGAGGAGCAAAATCTGACAACCATCCAAGGGAGGCAGGAGGGCAGGGGCTGCCAGGGGACTGTGCGATGGTGGGGAAGGGAGACAACTGTGGCGAGAGGGAACGTGGACCAGAGAATTGTTGGGATTGGAAAACACCTTTAAGATCATCTAGAAAAACCCAGCACTGCCATAGCCACTATGAAACCGTGTCCCTAAATGCCACATCTATGAGTTTTAAATAACTCCAGGTGTATTAACTCCACCAGGTCTCCGCTCACCCTGTTCCAGTGCTTGACAACCCCTTCCAGGAAGAAATTTTCCCCAAGATCTAAGCTAAACCTCCCCTGGCACAACTTGAGGCCACCTCTTGTCCTGTCACCTGTGGAGAAGAGGGTGACCGCCCTCAGCCCACAGCCTCCTCTCAGGGGTTCTGGAGAGCCGCAAGGTCTGCCCTGACCGCCGGGCTGAACACCCGCGGCTCCCTCAGCCGCTGCCCATCGTGCTCCAGCCCCTTCCGAGCTCTGCTGCCCTTCTGCGGACACCAAGGAGCCGCGGGGCCCGTCCCGGAGCGGAGGGCAGGGGCCGGGGAGAGGAGGGCAGGGGCCGGGGAGAGGAGGGGAGGGGAGCGGCGCTCTCCGACACTCACTGCGCACCATGGCCGCCCCCGGGCGCCGCCGCCATTCCCGGGCGCGCCGCGCTGCCACAGCAACGGCGCCGGGCGGCGCTGGGGGCGGCGGGGCCGCGCTGGAGCCGTGAGCGGAGCTGCGGAGCTACGGCGGCTCCCGGCGGCTCCGGGCCCCGCAGCTCCGGGCCCCGCAGCTCCCGGCGGCTCCGGGCCCCGCAGCTCCCGGCCCTGCGGCGGCTCCCGGCGGCTCCGGGCGGCTCCCGGTAGCTCCGGGCCCCGCGGCGCCCCGGCCCTGCCTTCCCTCGGCAGGCGGAGATCGAAATCCCACGTCTTGTCCTTTGCGGGACACTTGTGTCCCCCTCCTGTATATCCGGCAGCTCGTTCACCTCACGCAGTTTGGGCTGAAAGGTTGTTTTCCGTTGTTGGTGAAAGCAGCCTGTTCCGGTGATTCACGCTCTTTTACAATTTTAGAATCGTAGAACAGTTTAGGTTGGAAACGACCTGTAAGATCACCAAACCCACCCTTTAATATGACACTGCCAATCATCACTAAACCATGTCCCCCAGCACCAGGTCTACACCTCCTCCAAATTTTTCTAGGGATGGTGGCTCTGCCACTTCCCTGAGCAGCCTGTTCCAATTCTGGATCACAACCGGCATCAGATCAAAGTGGTAGCATCAGGAAAGTCATTCTGTATTTCCTACCTGTCCTCATTAACCTAAAGGTCTAATCAAGCTGAGAGGGCACCTTCTACTAAACGGAAATTCACCTATAAATTTAAATAAGGCAGTAGGAATTTTTATAATGATCCAATTCATTTATTTAGCCATTTACCGCTGATGTAAATGCGACTCCCCACAGCCTCTCCGCAGCTTTCTATCTATATTGCAGATTAGAGGAGTATGAAGGTGCAATTGAGTTAAGGCTCCTGAGATTTATGGAGATGCTGAGACACAAAGGAGCAGAAGTATTTAATGCCCTTTGACTCCATAATATTTGTCCTGGCCTGTCTGACTGGATAAGGAACAACTCCACTCCGAGGACAGCGAGGTTTACACAGATGGTTGGATGTGGCCCAGGGCCCCTGCACAGAGTCACAGACATTAAAAAAGGGCCACTAATCCTTCTACCTACACATTTATATCAAATTGCAGGTCTCTTCAAATAATAATCATTTGCTAGTAATATTATTTTTTCTTTTTTACTTGGGAGCAGAATTGACAATCAAAGTATTAATTTCAAACAAGGAAAAAAAATCTTGTTTTCACTATGTACAGTATTTTAAAGCCTGTGTTTACATTGTATAACATTGAAATGCCTATGTTATTTGGTTAAGCTAAAATCAAGGGGGAAAGTGTTCTTCCTTTTTTTTTCAGGTATCCTAGATGATAATTCTGAAGAAAGGAATATAAAATCTGCAATTAATTAAATTACTAAATACTAAGATGAGTGGGTTGACTTGGCAGGATGCCAGGTGCCCACCAGCTATTTTTTTTTTTTTCTCACTTCCTAGCCTCAAGAGAAGATGAGGAAAAAATATTATAAGAAGCTCAGGGATTGAGATAAGGGCAAGGACATCAAGCAACAATTACCATCATGGGCAAAACTGATCCAATTTGGGGAAAGTAATTTTACTTTTTCCCAATTAAACAGACTAGGATAGAGAGACATAATGACAAATCTAAATCCACCCTCCTTTTATTTCTCCTTTGTCCCCAGCTCAACTTCACTCCAAACCCTTGTTCTTCTATGTCCTGACTTAAGCCACAGTTTGTTTTAATCAGTACTTGCATAGGTCCTGTTTGATAAATCTAGTTCAGGTCCAGGACTACTTCCTCAAGCAGGTAATTTCTCACTCGTGATGAGCACAAAAGAAGACTTCTCTGTGTACCAGTGACTGAAAAGCTCTCAGAGTATGTTTTTCTCTTGTGAAGAACAGGGTTTTTTTGTGACTCAGGGTTAAATTATTCAGGAAGACAGTAAGCAGCACTTTGGAGCATGTCTTTACAACACACTGGTCCTCACCTGGTGGTCTGGCACACACAGGGCAAAGTTAGGTACTGAAGTATGTTATTTGCTGTTGTCTTTATTTTCACACAGTTGTTCTTTTTTTTTTTTTCTCAAATTATGTACCAAGAGTTTTCAGCAGCACAAGCCTGAAATCCTAGCATGAAGCAATGTACATGCCAGAGATAATGTAAAGAACCTCATTATAAACAGGACACTGGATATGAGAAGGAAGAAAAAAATCACCTCTGGCATGCCTGTCCCGAGGAAATTCAGTTTACCATTCAGTTTAATACATTATAACTTTATTTGTTACATGTGTAAAACAACACAATATGTATTTCTATGTAATGACAAAAATAAATTTTATAGCATTATTATTACAGTGTTAGCATTTATAGCATTATTAATACAGAAGTATTTTGAACATGTCTTGACTTTGTCCATATATACAATCATGTAAGGTGCTCCAAACCCAGAAAATTGATCTTCACGGACAAAGCTGTTGAAATATTGCAGCTTAGAATCTTGGCTGCTGTAAATCAGCTGATTGATACCCGCTCAGAATTTAAACCTATGTATTTTTATTTATTTCCTATTGAATTACTGTTTTTTTTCAAATATTATTTTTTATTTTATTTTATTTTGCTATGGTGCTAGGTAATGTAGTCACCAGTACAAAACAAGACTTTATGTTTGCACTAAAGTACCAAAAAACCCTCCCCCAAAGAGCACATAATCTATAGGGCAGGACATGAACTCACAAATAAGAAATTCACTGAAATATATGCAATTTCTAATAATACCAATCTCCATTACTGAAAAATACTCTCAAATGCAAGAAATAAGAACAGGAACAACTTTACTGATATAGATATGCCAGAGATGGAGGGAAAAAAGCCAGCATGAGAAACCACAAAACAAGAAACAATATAAATGAAGTAACAGTTTTGCTCAGTGTATATAGAAATGTGCAAAGAGGTTTACAAAATAGTGCAGCCAATTCCTAAAAATGTACATAAAAAATCAGATTTTGCAGAACTGGACTAAGTTCTGCAAACTTAGTGGTCACAACTTGTATTCTGTACCGTGTAGTTTATCCCATATGACTTAAATAAAAGATGGTAATCTTTGTATGGTTTGGCTTCTGCGAGTAATCCTTTCAGGATAACTACAAACCAGACTTGCTCACAGACCAGGAACATTAAAAATTAAGGAATGGCATCAATATTATCATCTTCTACATGAACATTCCCCTATAAAGCACTATAAGATATATACTCAGGAATGACCCTGAAATTCAGCTGAACACAGCTGAAGTAAGAGAGTATAAGACAAGGTGTAAAGATCATATATATAAAAAAATCAATACATTGTCTGAAAAAATACATAGGGGGGTAGAAATCTACAGTTCAGCACTTCTATTTGATTCTTTTTCTCTATATAAGTTGCTATATTAAAGGGGAGTAAATGTTTAATCACTGGGGACAAAAACCCATAAAATTCTAGTTGTTTTCTCTGTTAGTATATGCGTCAGTTAATCACTAATCAATAAGTGGTTTTATGGTGAGAGAATTACATTACACAGTTATCCTAGGCTTGATACTGTAGTTACCAGAAGCTGCAAATACTCATTACCTCTGAAAGTCTGGATTTACACATTTAGATTGGAAATGTTGTCTTCAGTTTTTATCAGAAAAATCCTGGCTTCAATTTTTTATTCAACAAGAAGAAACATATGATCATGCCTCTTTTGAGAGAAAAAAGATTAGGCATGTCTTTATGTCAATAGGAATATACAGAAGGGAACTGCCAAAGCCAACCAGTCTGATAACTGACTAGAACTTTGTTAATTCAACATTCATGAAAATCAAGGAAGGCAGATCTTAATAGATGCTGAGCACTTTATTTTTAGTTCCTGAACTCCAATTGAGAAAATGTCCCAGGAGTTCCCTCACTCCAGATCAGAACAATTCTAATTTACAGTTCATATTTATGAATAGATAGATTAGAGCAATTTACTGTAGACCTTTTTTTTTCTATCTCAATCAGATTTTTTTTGATAGCTTACAGTGAACTAATGAGTTTACGGTGAACTCTTCTAGTTTCTAGTTTACTTTGATGACTGCAGAGTAATTACAGTTTTAGGCTTTTCTCTCAGAATGGGATTTAAATTTCCAGATTATTATTTCAAGAGATTATTTAAACACTAAAAATCTTTATAATCCTTTAGTTTTAAAAGTTATTTTAGTAATGGACCTTTTATGATAGGCATAAAATAGATAACAAAATATTTAGATGTTTTACATAGTGATATTTACTCTCAGTTTTTTCTGTACTTTAAATAAAGATGAATTATTTAACACTTACAATATTATTCAAGTGCATTAACTATAAGTAAATATGAGGATGAATATTATAAGGACTGTTTTAGTTGAACAATATATCAGTTATCATATGTACTCATCCATAATCCAAATCCATTATCTTTGATAGTATGTTGTAACAAGAAATTTATATATAAAACATGGGATTACATAATTTTTATTTTAAAAAAAATTCACAGGAATTACAAAACACTTTTCATTATCAAGATAAGATACTACAGATATAGCACTCCTTGGTGTTATTTCTTTCAGGTAGTCACCAAGAACAAAGTCCTATTTGACCAGAAGAAAAACAAAGCTAAAATTCATTGTGTTTTGGAGGAAGAATGCTGTCAAACCTGTTTTTTTTTTTTTTCCCCACAGGAACATGTAACCATGGCCATAAGGAGGTATCCAGGAGTTCGATGCTGAAGAGCTGATGAAAATAAATTGGAGGAGGAGGAAAAATGAAAACTGTTATTGAACTAGTTTCAAAATGCACAGAAGTAACAACTCTGATTTTAAGTTTTTACAAAGTGCAAGAGACAAGCACGTTTTGAGCTGTGGAAGGTCCTGTCTTGCAGTAACCTGTGTCAGTCTGTGTTTAGTTCTCTACTCCATCCTGTTGCACTTGCTTTGGTTAACTTTGACAGTGGCTTTCAAACCCAGAGTGAGCTTTCAAGCTCTGGTGTTTCAGCCCTTACATAAACAGTTCCACCGACTTTAAGAAGTGCCATACATGGCACCCCCGGCTTGGCATGCTGTGAATAGGACATTTTGTCACCATAGGCAAAGGGATCAAATGCCTGCACTCCTTTCTAAAATGCTTTGTTCTCAGGATTAACACCCTCCTTCTAAGAACTGAAAGAAAGGTTTTCCAGGTTGTGTCTGCAGCTGTGCAGATGCCTTTAGATCTCAGAAGGTGAACTGCACTCAACCAGGAAACTGATGAAGAAGGCTGTTCTATCCACACTATAAGGAACACAAACTGGGCACAGCTCCACTTGGTTCCTTCTTTTAACTGTACACAGTAAACTCATAAAGGAAATAACAGAAACAGGACTGGGATGACCAACTCCAAGTACAAAAAAATCAGTGCTCTTCTTTTAAGTGTTTGAGCTGCAGTGAGTCTTAGAAATGCTTGATAAACAAACTGGAGTGTGAGGATGAGGAAAAAGAATGGGGAATAGAAGAATGTCTAAGTGTTTTTCAGATATTCTGGACTGATTCATATTGATACTGCTTCACTGCTTCAGTGGAATGCAACCAGCTCAGAGCAGCACAGCACCTGGTCCTGCTGTTCAGTTCACACTTGGGAGAAGGAAGACTTGTTTTGCCTGTTACTGAAAAACATGTTTTCTCTGGGCTGAAGCACAGCAATTGTTAACAGCTTACACTATTTAGACACTGCTGCCAGAAAACAGAAAGAAAATATATAATCCAAATACAATAAAAAAGGAATTGCAGACATAAAAGTGGAGTAATTTGCAGTGAAGACTGGCAAGGGTCCTGTAGCTAAACCTTCTTTTTATGAAAAGTCCTTTCTGTTCATACCAAAACCTTCCAGGTATGTTTGGACCCTAATACGACTCATCCCCAAAAATATGGAATATGGAATTCTTTCTAAACTTAACCATGTACTTACCAATTTTTCTTTATTTTTCATTATATTCTGTGGGAAAAAAAAGAATAATACATTTTTGTATGTCTTGATTTAAATCACAGTTTCTTAAAATTATTATATATTATCAATAGGTCCTGTTTGACAAATTCAGCTAAACTGCAGGACTACTTGTATGAGCAGGTAACTTCTCACTTGTGATGAGCATAAAAGAGGCATTCTCTGTATACCTGCTGCTGACAAGCTCTCAGAGTGTGTTTTTCTCTGGTGAAAAACAGCTTTGTTATGACTCAGGGCTAAGCTATTCAGGAAGAGGGAAAGCAGCACTTGGGGCATGTGCTTGCAGCACAGTGGTCCTGACCTTTGGTAAACCTGACCTTTGGTCCTGGTGTCTTTGGTAAAACCACAGTTTTAGGGTCTAGAGACATAGCAACAAACTGATACATCATCTGTCAAAAAATGGGACTGTCATTGCACTGGGGCTGTCCAAGTTGTGCCTTGCTGTTTCTGACTTCCAGTGTAACCAATTCTAAGGCTGAGGTCTGCCAGATTGTCTTGGTGCCTTTGCATACACTGATCTTCTGAACCCTGACAGTTTCAGAAAGAAAAAAGATCCTCTTGAGCTTTACTTTCAGCCCATAAAAATTCAGATAAGCACAAACCTATTAGTCTTAGAAGTATTTTGTATTCTACACATTTAGAAATTTGGTGGTGCAAAAAAAGGCGGAAGAATGGTAATTCATAAATCCAGCACATCCATACTTGCTTTCGGCATGAAGGCATATGTGTGAGCTAATGGTGCATTGGAGAGGCCAAATTATACCAATTCTGTAGTCCCTAGATGTTGGTGATGTGGCAAGCTCATAACTAGCTGGGTTTTATTTTTTCCAGTTAAAAAAAAGGCTAGGTCAGGGAGTGGACTTCAGTGCAAGGCTTGAAAATGCACCTCTGAAATCTTAAATTACACTGTTGAACTGTGTCTGCATCATGTTATGGCATATTAGGTTTACCTCCTTTTTCTGCTAAACATTAATTGCACATTATGAAAAGACAGGTTTTTGAATTAACAGAAAGTTTCTATGAATACAAATCAGTAACTGGAAAAGCCAAATGCATCAGTAACTTCCCTCCTTCTATCTTCTGACATGAAAACAGGAGGAATCTCCTTCCTCTTCTTAATATAAAATTTCTAAATTCCTCCATTCATCACATGACACTGGAACCTCTTACCAAAACTTAGTTGTTTTGAAAAACGTATCGAGAGTGAAGAAAGATGGCACAGCAGCATCCTGGGACAAAATAACTGTGAAATTAAAATGCAAAATCTGTAATGGATTGAAGGCTACATTTGTCCCCATTTGACCATATACTGCTCTTATTAGAATCATTAAGATACATGGATATACATCCAAGGAAAGAATTTGGTCCTCAGATGTGACTTAGTAAAAAAATTATGTGGGAAATAAATAAATTCTATACTTACAAACTAAAATCATCAGCAACAAAGTGGCAGACAGTCCTCCCAGAAAATACCTGAGAACATAACGATACCCAGAAAGGTTAAAAAAACCCAAGGGATATTGGGTTAAAAGAGGTGAAGCCTGGTGGGAGGACAAGGAAGGGTTTTTGCAGATGAACCCTCTGAACTCTGGTAGGTGAACTGTAATTTGAAACTTTAAATTATGTAAACTATTGAAGATAATCTTCTGGAAAAAAAGACCTCCGCATTCAGACTGAGAGAAAAACACACTTAGAAAGGCATGGATCCATTCTGATTCTTCTCAGCCTGCCAAAACCCCTGTCAAAGCACACTTGGCAAAGTAGCTTTCATATCTGCATACATATTTCTTATTTTTGTGCCTATCTATATAGCTCAGATATTTGCCTGCATTGACTATCATGTGAAAATACATTTTCACAGTAAGTTACATATAACTTTGAAATTTTTTTCAAAGTTAATTTTGAAAACCTTAATTTTTTATTCACTAGCTGAAATGAAGCAAGCACTCATGTCAGAAACAGAAAATAAAAGAAATAAAAATTACCTTGTACATACTGAAATGATTAAACACATGATCAGTGCAACCATCTGAGAAATGACATTTTTCACTGTCCTGGATTCTAAAATAAAAATCAGGAAAATAATGGGTTTTAATGAAAGTGTATTACAGGAGGTGTTTGCAAAGGCTACCTTCAGCCTGTGAGACCAGTCTCTTCAGTTGCTTTTAAGGAGAACTTGCTTGGAGTGATTCAAAGCAGAAACCTAATTTTCATGCTCTGGGTGTTTCTCAGGAGTCTTTTTCCCCCACAACTACAGAAACACTGTGCCCTCCATGCTCTCAGAAAACAAGCCTTTCTGCATAATTGCCTGTTTCAGTTTTTACTCCCATGCCCTTTCTTCCATTTTCCTCTTCACTCCTCTTTTTTTTTCTGAAAGATGGGTGAGGGAAAGATGTGAGCAGGGGGTATTAATCAAATACCATTTTTGTGATCTTGTTATTTTAATAATTCATTTAAAATATATGTTTTAGTAAATAAATTCTATTCTGCAAGGGGCTAGATTCATATTTTTAAAGTATTTTCACTTCATTCTAAAAATGAGGCATGCCAGAATAAGAACATAACATACCTGCATTGCTCCAATTTTCTTCATTTGCATTTCTCATAAATGAAGAGAAGGATTTTGAAGCACAGAGTGGTTCCTCAAAATGAAGAAACTCACCATCTTTGGTGAGAAATGCTCCACTAGATGCTGGAATCTGCCTTTGTGACACATGGTTATTATATTCTGAAGAAAAGTCTGAATCACCTACAAGAAATGCACGTATTACTGAGATTGCACAAAAGAAGAGCTCTGAGACTTTGTATTAATGAATTTAGGAATTAATTACTGAATCACAGGATTCAAATGTATGCAGGAGAAAATATGCAGAGTAAAGACAAAACTGCATAGAGCATAACAGATAAAGCTATTGAAAGAGCCAGGTGAAAGCATGCAGTATTAATTACACCAGAATAAACATTCCTGGTGATGACTTTGCATTCAAATTCAGTCAAAAAATGACTTTTTGGCATGGAGATCTTTGCAGACTCATACTCAGTTTTAATGCCAGGAGCTCTGTTTATCCCTTAGAGTTCTGTATTTCTTTCTATGCTTTACCTGCACACCTTGACAGACATCACCTGCATAACTTCCAGAAAGAGATACCCAGTTCACACTAAACACAGACTGCAATGTTGTATATTGATTACCAGGTACCTGACCAGGGCTTACCAATATCACTGTGACTGGCTTCTAGTTTACTGCATCCATCAGGCCAAGGCTCCTCTACATGGGAGAAATCCATCCTGCTGGGGATGGTGGAGCTGAGCCATGAGCTGGAGGCACTGAGATTAAACAAGCTGTCAAGAGAGCGACGGATTTTCTTCCTTCGCCTGAACACACTAGAAAGAAAAGATATGTTGCCAAGGAATAGAGCTAATTATTCTTGTTGAGCAGGGACAGAGCTCTAAAGCTTGCAGGAATATGAAAGAACCAGGCTCTGGGTGCTGCTCCCAGCCCTGCTCTGGACCCATGGCATGTCACCAGGAGTGGCTGCTGCACACCACAATATGTCAGGGAATGTATTAACAGCAGGGCTGATCATACTGTTGTGATACTGGGTACTGTGGTACCAAATGATATCAGAGCTACTGCTGTCTCATAGTACTGTGAGTGCTACCTGTGATTTTCACTGCTCTATCCTATTTGGGGTAGTCTAAATCCATTGAATTCCAGGTTTTTTGAACTACATTTTACATACCTTTTTAAATAGTTGGTCTTCTGAATCATGAGATGTTTTTCCCCGAGTAAGAATTCCAGGACCAGACCTTTTTATTTATATATATGTATGTATGTGTGTGTTTTAGACAAAGATATTTTTATATATATACATTTTTCTTAGTCCTTATCAGAGTAACACCCCATTGGAAAAATGAGCTGTAGCTCTCTTATTTTCCTTTACTGGACACAATTTCAATTATAGCAACAAATTATAGCACTAAAGAGTTTTTAGATAGCAAGATATACTGAAAATCAGGTCATTTCATTCACTGCACTCTCTAAAACAATTGAGATGTTCCCAATCAGAAGTAATTCCAGTCTTATGCCAAGCAAAATGTAGACAGCCACACTTCTTGATACACCTCTAGATAAGGCCAGAGATGTGGAGGCAACCGCCAACATGGAGTGCAATCTGCACATAGTTCACTTACCGAAATAAATTCTCTTTATATGTAACATTTGTGTGGGATGGTGTCAGTGTTACGTTGCCCTCTTCATCAGACAGAAAACTGTCTTCTCTCAAAACATAATAACCATTAGAAAGCAGTCGAGGGCTGCGGCGGCATGTAGGAAGGGAGCCTGTCAGAGGATTTGTGGAGCACTCATAGGCAGGATCGTCATCCAAAAAGTCACAAGCACAACTGAAAAGGAGAAATGACAAGCCTCTAATTTAGAGAAGGTTTGGACAGAGCAAACCCATGATTTAATAGTAATGAATTTACATTTCAAGCTGATGGGGACTGGTAATGACATAGATTTAAAATATATGGATGTAATGATATTACTCTGTACTAGGGGGCTTCAGCCAGCTGACGTGTGCATCACATGTTCCAGAGCTTCAGATTACAGGAGGGACACATGCCAGGGGAGCATTTCCTGAAGCATGGAGCCAGCTTGAGCTCAGAAGTGCTCAGTGTGTTTCTGTGGCAGGGCTCTCGGCCAAAGAGTCCTGCCAGACCTACACCGACCTGGAGCCATCAGAGGCATTCCAGTATCTGGCTTCTCTGAGTTCCTCTACATGGCAGAATCTGGGTGCCCCTGAGCCAGGCAGGATTTACTTGTTTTTTGATAAACTACCCATACTTGGTGAAGATTTAAGAATATGTGACTTTTAATTCTCACAAAACCTAGAATGCCATGCAGCTGGAACAACATGGGATAAAGCCCACACATTGTAATAGCTCCATCCAGCACTGAAACACAATTGACTTTGCAGTTAAATACAGCACAGAAAAATATACTCTCTGGTGTTCAACTAGAAGGGAGTAGTGACAGAGGTGAAAGGATCTAAAAGTTGTAGACATTGTACTTAGTTTAACTAAAATTTAATTTATGGTTATACCTTTCCTCTTAACACCTATGAGTTACAAATTGCCATGTTGTGACATAATGGAAAGAAAGGAAGACACCAGACTGATTTAGTGTCTGACCTGTGTTTCAGTGAGAGGTTTAACTGAAACCCCATATGGCATGTCACAGAGAGATACCATAATTTCAGTGTATGGAAAAGCAGATTCAAGAGAGATACTCCAAAACCCTGTAATTGCAAAGCCAGTGTTGCCAACCTCCACAGCAGTACTTCTGAACTTCCATTTAGAGCAGTAATTAAATTATTATCAGCACTATATTTCTCAGAGACCCAAAAAGACTTCTACAAAATCTACGCCAAAACAAAAATAAAATTAAGTATGTGTAACTTTCCTTAATACCTTGGAAAAATATGTCTTGAGGGGCTGTGTCTGTGCTCTTCATTAAATGGTGTTGAACCTGCAGAGGCAAAGGTGAAATAAGAAGAAATTGTTATCATATTCACTGACACGTAGCTTGTGCATACCAGAAAGATAAAAAAAAAACCCAAACCAAAAAAACCCCCAAAAAACCCAAAAAACTAAAAAGAAAAAAGAAAATTAAGGGAAGAATGAGAGGAGACAAAACATATGAAGGAATTGGGGAAAGACTTAGTGTTTATAGGAAACTCATCTCAACCAGGACAACAGAGAATCAGAGCCAACAGAAATCAGATACTTGTACTCTGCCCAGATAACAGACTTGAGAGAAATAATTATTGACACAAATACAATAACTGCAGTAATTTTAAGGTGTTTTTCCAGAAATCTTCTTCATGCCAAATCTAGAACCTGAACTGGCACTAGATACAGAGTAAAATGGAAAGACCATCATTACAACTACATCATATTTTTCAGATGAAAATTGCAGACATAGCACAATGAGCATAGGGATTGCTACAGTGACAAATATTTGATAGTAATCTTGTGGCAGGAGACTAAGGAAATAGGATTTGTATGGATTACCGTGGCTCAAGTGTGCAAAGTGCTGCTAGATGTTCCTCACCTGACAGAATCAATGTTATGAAATGTGAGCAAGGGTTATGCATAGGGAGAATTTATGTCTGTTATTACATGAAAAGATAAAAGATATGATCTTTCCCTATATTACCTTGTCTCTCCTGAATCTTTAGAGCTTCACATTTACAACCCTGTTAGTAAATGCCCATCCTTAACCTCTGAGAGGAGATAGGGCTAAGAGAATTTTATATTTTTATGTTCAGTTATGAGCTAAGGCAAAGCAAAGACAGGAAGGTCAGGGTTTCCACTTTGGTAATCTTGTTTAACCTCCTTGGGAGCTCAGCTGTCAGTCACAGGCTGGGTGTGAAGGCTGACTCAGCCTTGGGACCAGTCAAGGTGATGAAAAAAAGAGAAGTAAAACATTCAGGGTGTTTTTTACAAATCAGTCCCATTACCCTGGTCCCACATAAATACTGGCTCTCCTACCCTTTGGAAAAAAAAAAATCACTTTGTCATGAATGAATTATGCTCTAAGGGCTGCAAAAATAACTAGAGGAGGAGAAAATGGAAAGAATTTGGTGGAAGGTACAGAGAGATCAAGAAGCATCAGTCAGAACGCCACAGAGCAAGTTGTACAAACAGTGGGACCAGTGGTGTATTTCATAGTTTGACATGTATTAGAGCTATTTTTAACATACAACTACCTCCTGAAATAATTTCTCTTATTTTAGGCAAAATCATGATTTTTAAACGTGTAAAAAGTCTTATATTCAAAACCAAGAAATGCATTCAAACTCTAGAAGAAAATACAGGAAGGAGTCAACAAGCAGTTTGTAGATCTGGATATAAACTAAAACCAACAAAATCCTAAGTCTTATCAGTCAAAAAAGATCCCCTCCACAAGGTATTTATGTATCCAAATTTATTTGCTCCTGGAGTTGATGCAACATGTGATGTGCCATACACATTGAAAAGGACTGTTTCATATACCCTAGGGTAACAGGGAATATAGATTATCTGTAAAAGAGTTTAAAAATAAATGGAAACATATTTTATTTTGTCTTGTTTGAAAATCAGGATGTGTAAGATAATATCAGCAATATTAGGCAAAAGTAACTTATTCTATGGAAAATTTTGTTTGAAAATGATATATGGAAGTATATGTCAGGATCAGTTATATCTAGCACAATTCTTTAATAATCTAAGAGTGAAACTTTCCAGCAACTGAAACCCACAGCACAGCTGTATTACACGCAATTCTTTCAGTTATGATAATAAAAAGTAGCAACATCTAAAAAAGAATGACTTTTAGGAGTGGCAGCTTTTATGGGGTAGTGCTTTCACTAGAAAATGTTGACACATACTGATCGCAGTGGCAGAACAAACCACAGTCCTTCTGTTCCTCATTTGAATTCTCTCATAACTTTGCAAGGTATGTCTCTGCAGGATGTTTATTTGCCATTCTCCAGAGAAATAAAATTTAAGATAGAATAGAGTATATTCATCTATTTATAAAGGAAAGTGAGCAATATACACATGCAGATATACTACTGGGGAGGCGAGGCATTTCCCTCTTTTCAAGAACAGTTAATAAGCAGCTGTAACTTGATTTTAAACTATTTTAAGTAACGATAAGATCAAGCTTCTGTGAACAGTCATAGAACAGGCAGTCCAACAGATTTGTTTGCTGACCGTGATCAGGAAAATTTTTGGCTCATGCATAATGAAGAGAGTTCTTGAAAATAATTTAATCAATGATGGAGAAAAATGGAAACATTATGTTGTAGACAATGCTGCACAGTGTTCTGCTTTTGTTTAATATTCAGTCCTATTTCTGTGCTATTAATAGCGTGAGAAGCTATAGTAATGACATGACAAAACAAAGCTTCTCAACCACCACTGTACAATGGAGCAGTGGTATTGTATCTGTAATCCACAAAATGTGCCACCAACACAGCATGTCTAAACTATGAGAAAAAGCCAACAGCTCTATGAAATCTTACTAAAAGTGAATCTGAGGTGAATGTGGCAACATTTTATGTCAAGAATCCAAATAAAAATTTAAGGCAACAACCCCCATTGGATTTCAAAACACACAAAAGTTTATGTTGCAATATAAACAAAAAGTCATTGTCCAAACCAGTCAGTTTTAACTATCTTTCCCTTCAAAAATTAAATTAGCGTCTAAGCCAATTATGCCTTCCATGTACAATCTAAATATTTACATTAGTACCTACCAATATATAATGCTAACTATTGAAATAGCTGAAACCCAGGCAACCAGTTTTATTCTATTTTATCTACCAAACAAAAGTGTCTACAAAGAGTTTTATTTGTTCACACGTATCCGTTGTTTCTGAAGAGCAGTTCTGGCTTTTCTCCCTGCAGGTAATGGTAGCAACATTTACAAACCCACAAAACATCCTGAAGAACAGCACAGAAATTAATCCAAAGCTTAGCTATTCCTCAGCTGACAAATATATTAAGAGATAAATAAGTCTAAAATCCTTCAAACCTGGAAAATCCATTTCACAATTAACACAATGCGTGCCAAAGTGTTCTCTCCGGCCCGAGTGCCCGTGGGACGGCTGCTGGAGCTGTTCCTGAGCAGCTTCCCGGGAGCGCTCAGCCCCGGCCCCCGGGACAGGCAGCTCCGGCAAGTCCGTGTTTCCTTTTGAAAACAGCCCGTGCAATCAGCGGCACCCACCCCAGTGAGGTCACATTTCCTGCAAAGCAGCCTCACACCAGAAGCATTCGCTCAGAAGAGCAAAGCGAAGATAAAGATTAGCCCAGCGAACCTCCCGCCGGCTGCTGTGAAAGAGAAGAGCCGCTACAAATAACGCCCTGCTCCAATGATCGTACAGAGAACAAAGACACAGCATTTTCTCATCAGTGACACAGAGTTTTGTTTCAGATTTGCTCTTCTGCCTCGCACAGAAAACTTTCAAGTTTTGTATACAAATCAATTTGTTGAAATACTTGTGAGCCTGACAGGCTTTGATGTAAGAAAATGATCCAGTTACCAAAAAACAATAATACACTCTGCAAAAGCACTGTTGTACATGTTATAAATGAAAATTTGTCCGGCCAAATTAATATGAAAAATAAAATATTTATTTTGCAATCAAATTTTATCTAGCTAGCCACAAGGAAAGAACAGAGCCGAGCCCGGGGTCGGCCCTGGGTGTGCAACAAAGAGGTCAGCCTCAGCAGAGGTTTTCCTCCATGCCCACACACCTCCATCCTGGCATAAGCGGTTTTTATAGGGAAAATTCCGCCTGAGGCCAAGATTTCAGCAGTCAGTCTTTTCTTCTATTCAGAGTCCATATGATAATAAGATTTTCTTTTTGGTGATGAGGGAGAACAATTCAGTGTCCGGAGTTTGTTGAATCCCTTGATGAAATTTACGGGAATTCGGGAACGCTGTATTCACATGTATCTGCCTGAGGATTTCCATGATATCCATCTCGGGTTGTTCACGGGAATGATCAGCACCTGGGGTTTCTGTATCTCCCCAGCCATGGCTCATCTCCTGGCGAGCTGTACCTTCTTGTAAATCAGTTTCCAATCTACACTCGGTCTCACCTGCACCTGTGGGGGGGGGGGGGGGAGGAATCCTAATACAAACATGTATACTCTAACAAATATTCAATATCACATATATCATATTAGAAATGGCGCAAATTGTATCTACTACACATAACATACAGAAGATACATTCGGTCAGAGTTCAGAGCTACGTTTCACAGCTGAAAACATTACTGCAAATATAAGCCATGCAATGTTAATATAAATTACATAGAAAGGAGAAAGGAATAAAGCCATTTGTAAACATAGTCATTGCTGCATGCTAAATGTTTCATACTCTTGTAATGTATCCATTCATCATACCTTAAAGTATAAAAAATAAAGTCAAATCCACATAAGAGAAATGGAGCCTGAATAAGATATCCTGGCAATCAAAGGATTTGGCTACAGAACTATTACATACAAAAGTAATATAAATCAGCTGCTTGACACTGAATTGTACAGCCTTAGGGGGTAACACTTCATCTCCAAATAGATAAAATAATCTAGTAGTTTTCTTTCCTGATGTCTGTATCTATCACTGACAAAAAAATGAAACCATAAATCTAGTAAAATATGATTGATTTTATGATAGTTTGTGTGTTTTTTCCCCTTGGAGAAGGAAAAATACTTCCACTGATAAAAAGAATGCAAAAACTTCACCTCCCAGAAAAGGAAACAAAAATAGGAATTAGGCAATTAGGATGTTGCAAAATGCCTTCTGTTTGTGAGTTAAACTAAAATGAACATTTTATGATCCTTTTGGTCAAACATGAAAATAGGGAGATAGTCCATCTTCAAGTCAGTTCTTTTAATTTAGTGGAATTATGTCAATGAGGAAATTAAGTCCACCACTATTTCCATGGATGCATGGGCTTCATCACAGCAGCATTTCCCTGGCCACCCTGCCTCTCTACAGGCAATGAATTTAAATTCCCAATGATCTTTAAAACTAGGTCACTTACAGAAGAATTTCTGTACACACAGGAATTTACTCCTTGGGCATATTTTTTGTTTCTTTTCTTATTCTTTTCAACAGGAAGCAGTTAATTCCAAGCTTGAACTGCTTTTCTGAAGGACATTGGCATTTCATGTTTGTCTATATAGTTAAAATATATTTTGTCTATATCATATTCAGGCTTGGAGGTGTTTGCTTTTTTAATCACTGCTATTTGTATCCAAAATGCAGTGTTCCACAAGCTTTTGATGCATAAATTTTGTGCATTGGTGAATATTTTATAGGTGAGTGCTTGACTATAGTTAATACACACACAAAGGTTTATATACAGCTTTTTTTTTCTTCACCCTGTAGCTCCTCAAATTTCCCACTCCACCTCATGCCCTATCTCAACAATAACCAGGTTTCAAATTTTACAAAATGAGTGCACCAACAAGCTTATTTGCAGTAGTTTTATGCCTATGGCACACATTACCATTCAACCCACAAAAGGAAGGAAATTAGAAATTACGATACTAAATACCACCCATCTTTGTACACTTCTCCCAGGCTCGCTCTGCTTTTGATGCAACAGATTGTGCAGAGTCTGACAGTCCAGGAGAGGTGGGGCTGGGGCACCTCCATGTCTGGGGCCCCACCAGCATTGAGGCTGAGCAGTACCCCCGGAGGGACTTGCAGGGTGCATTTATAACCACCTTACACACACAGCTGGCAACGCAGGCAACAGGCACACACAGAGAGAGCAGCCCACAGCACCAAGAGCCTCATCCTTCTCACCCCTCTGGCCGAACAGTGCAGGGGTCCTCTAGTGAGAATGTGTAGATACACACATCTGTACACATCCCTCCAGCAGATGGGCTCAGAACTCTGTCTGCTGCCCCTACATCCCAGTCTCACCAGTTGCACCCACCTGGACACTGGAGCCCTTAGCCCAGTTGGTGGTGCAGAGCATCCCGCACACAGGTACAGCTGGCTGGGATTCCCCAGGTCCTCAGCAGCCCACAGAGACATCCCAGCCCACGGGTGTGCCCTGCCCCGGGCAGCAGCTCCTCCCTGTCCCAAGGAGCTCTGGTGTTCACTCTTCTGGGTGGGTTCCATGCCTGGCCACAAGGGCTGAGACTCCTCTGGGACAGCCCTGCGAAAGGCCCAGTGGACAAAGTGTCCCTTCCTCTGAAATCTTAACTCAGGTTCCCACCTGCCTTTGTGCCCCCAGGCTCCTCTGGCTGATCAGAAAGGCTTTTGATGGCTCCTGGAATGGGAATAGCTGGGTGCAGGGAATTCTTTGGGCTCCTCTCCCCACTGTTGTCCCTCAGTGTTCCTCTGTGAGTGTGCAGATGAGCTTTTAGCACAGCTCAATGCAGGGTACTGTTCTGCTAAACACACAATCTTCAGGAAGGGTATTTTCCTGGTAGAGTTGAGTGGCCATGGTGGAGAGAGTGGAGTGCTTATTGATTGAATGTAATTGAGAGTAATGTGATGCTCCTGTAACTCTCTTTGAACCTCCTGGAAACCCGACAACCTTTAATTGTCCATCAGCTTCAGTAACCACCAAATGAGGCCATTTTTCCTATATCATAGCTCTGTGTCAATTTTGCTTATATAGTACTCAAAAGTAATTCTGAGTTATCTGAAAATCAATTGAAAAATTTTTAAAAATCCAGCAGGGGAAGGGCTGGTCATGAGAATCTCTGAGTAGCCTCACTGGGGCAAAATGAAGGTCTATGAAACTCTCCTTGCCTGCAGTCTTGCTGCAGGGCAAACTAAGACCTATTTTCATTCACCTTTGTGAATGATAGTGTTTTAAGCTGACTACATTCCTTTATGCAGCAGAAACACTTAGCAATATTTGGAGAATTCTGGTAATTTAAAAATCTCACAAACCTAGACATTTTATTTCAATTTCAAGAAAAGGCTGATCTCTCATTGTTAGCATTTCAGTGCAGGTTACAGAATTGTCACATTATATATGACTTTAATAGCCTTATCAGGTCAGCTGTATGAACAAAGATTAATTAGTCAGAACAAAGATTAATTTGCCTTGAAGTGGAACAAATCAATTTTTAATGTTATCAGATGGAAATCCCATCACACTTTATCAGAGACTTTCTGAATTTCAGGATTGATTTTTGCCCTCAAATTCATTATTTTAGCTTAATTGTTCCTGCAAAACAGGCAAAAAAGGGCATTTCTTGTTTGCATGGTGGAGTACAATGAATAGACCTGTAAAATTTGGAATTAGCTCTGAGCTTGCTGATACAACCATACTTAGACCTCAAGAGCTTACCTCCAATAATGCTACATCAGCTACCTCTGTATTATACCACAGACATAGTCCAGATAGACAAAAAAATGTTTAAAAAGTATCTAAATCAAGTAAGCCTGTGATGTACAATACTGTTTCTCTGTACAAAGCCACCACCATTCTGTGTCATATCTCCTTGCTTCTTGATCATGTGGTACCATGGAGAAATTTACTTGGTATCAGAACTTGATGTAGACATGGGAAAATGCCACATCATGATACAAGAGCAGAGTAAAAATAGACATGGGGAAAATACAAGAAATGTTTCCATTAGAATCTGTAACTCTGCCACCCTGCATCTGAAAACACTGCTTTAAAACCTATTTTATCAGAGAAAGAAAACAAAAGGAAGAGGTTCAAATCCATCAACCAAAGCAGAATTTAGTCAAGGTTTCTAATAGAACTCAGGTGAATCCTCATTAGAGTTCTTCACAAACTTCCTCACAAGATCTGACCATAACTGAACAAGAAGGTAGGAACACTAAAAAAAGCAACAAACACACAGATCTATACTAAAAGCTGCCTGACTCAGTTTTATAAAGGATGACAAAAGTTCATGAGTCAGCACACTGCAGTGTCTGCTGTGACTACAAGTAGCCAGGGCAGAGCCAGCTGTTGGCCAGTTGTGCTCCAGCAGCATCTGATTTGCAGACAATAGAAATATTAATGCACAGATCACTGGTCTGAGCACAGAATGAGTGGGAACAGGTTTGAGATCTATGAATGGGGTACACCCATGGTTCCTCACAGGTCATTGTTATGAACAAAACAGCCTGGCTGGGACACTTGGCTCGACCTAAGTACTGACACTGAAATGTTAATTAGCTAATTGCTCCTGGGAATCACCTACAACCCCACCCACACTAGAACCGGGATGCAAAATAATCTAGTGGAATCATGAGAGGGGGTTTTGGGGATGAAAAACACCCCTAAAATGGAAGGCTGGGCACTGTGGAGGGGGCTGGATGGGTGTGCTGGTTAGGGAAAATGGAACCACATCCCTGGTCTGTGTCTGACCTGTCACCATAACCTGCAGAGGACCAGACTGGACTGGGGTGTGGGAAGCAGGCACAAAGAACGGATACTTCCTCATGTTACCAGGAAGGAAGGAGAGATATAGCTGCTGCTGGACTTTGGCAGCAGGCTCTGCACATCCCCTCACCCTGCGGCTACCAGTGTGCCAGGAGGAAAGGAGAGAGGATGTTCTGCCGGGACTTCAGATATGGACTGCACACCTCTTCACTTCCAGCTACCAGTGTGCCACGGAGTCTCCAGGGACAGACTCTGCAGCCTTCTCACCCTTCTCTGTGTTGAGCCCCCTGCCAAGTTTTAATAAAGAGCTGATCATTAATAAAGGCATAGACCCTGCTCATTTCAAAGACTTTTGGCCAACATGTGATCGTAACAATCATAACACACTTTATATATACTGAAAATCTGTAGCTGAGAGATGTTGGTCCCACTGGTGCCTGAGACAACATTAGTGGCAAAATACTGATCATTCTGGTATCATGGTCATTTCTATAATAAATCCTACTGAGTGAGGCATAAATGAAGACCAGTAACAACTGAAGTGATACTCTAATAATGTTCTTTAAAATGCTTGTCTTTACACAGCAACCTTATCAGTTATTTCTCTGTAGTCTGGCATTGACTGAGTCCCTTTCTGCCTGTATACCAGTATTTAAGTAAAGTCTAAATTTGTGAGGCTTATACTGAAGGTCCACAGGCCTTTCTGGTATTGTTTGCAATTTTTCCAGTCTTGCCCATGCCCAGCTCACATTTCCAGCTGATCCAAAGTGATGTCCTGGACTTCACTTCAATGGCTAGGGAAAGGCAACAGCACAGGCAGCCTCAGTATGCAGTGGAAAACTATGCACAGGAGAGGCAGAGTGGTTTTACAGCCTGGATATTATCCAGCATTGCATAAAGATCAAGGATTTGAATGTGGCCTGCAAGACAATTAAGGACAGAGAGCAGAACTCTGATAGCCTTCCAGGAACCTGCCCATGTGGCACCAGCACAGACCCAATGGCCAAGTACCAAGAAACAAGTGACTCCTACCATGAGCACGTGCTCCTATGAACAAATGCATTACAGGCATTTTACAGGCAGGGCTGGCCACAAAGGGCTAATCTCACAACCAACAACCATCCTTCAATCCCTGAGGACACCCAAGTTTACATGGGACTACAGAAGAAAATATCACACTAGTTTTACAAAGTGATTGGTATTGCCTGCTGACAGAAGTGATGTGTATTTTTCATTCTCACTCCTGGACTCCACCGGGTTGGACATGTGATTTTTGGAATTCTGTTTTCCTTCAGCACAAGTTGCAAATTCTGTCTACTTAGGTCAGCTCTTAGAAATGCAGACCATGAAAATCTTCCCACTGGGATATGTTTGTAAGTCAAGTGCTCTGATGATCCACCAGAAAGTGTATGCTGCATTTCAGTCTCAGATGGAAATAATCTAGGAAATCAGTGCATAGAGCAGGATATTATTACTACAGCTTTTGTTCAGCACTGCTCTCATCAATGCTTTAAAGAAAAATTCAGTAACATATTTATTGATGTATTCCAATCTACAGAACCTCCTCTAAAACCAAAACACCCTCCAAGACATATGGCTGCAATATGAAAGGCAGAAGTAAGTGACACATTGCACAGCACTGTTTCTGAGGCAAAAGCACAATTACATCTCAAGAGGTCCAACATTAATTGCAAAACTATATTCATAGTGTGGTGAATATTCCATGTGCCCCTAAGAATATCAAATTATACACAGAAAGTGGTTTAGTGAGGCTGCAACATGACACAGCAGAACTGCCTGCATCCAAAACAGGGAGCTGCTCCCTCCCAGCCTTGCAGACCATCAGGAGGTACCACTCTGGTGAACAGCAACTTCTGCCTCAAGGCTTTCCTTTAACCCCATCAAATGCCAACGTTTGCTCTTTCTTCTCTTTGTGTGGATTTGGGACCCATTCACTAATGTCAGAACGACCTGCTAAATGCAAATTTAATACCCACCGGGATTTACCAGGTTTCACTCCTTAGCATTCTCACCTTACTGTACTTCACCCTTAAAATACTGCCAGTAGGAAACCTTACTTCTGCTCTACAGCTTCCTGCCACCTCTCCAGCAATGCAGTGAAACAGCACCTGTGGGCAAACAGCCAGTTCTCTGAGAGAAACCACTGACAGAATTAAAGGCACTCTGCAAAGAACCAGTGAGCAATTCAGTAAAAAATGTCCAGTTTCTGTATCTTTCAAAACTAGAAGAAGATGGGGTTGATATCCCAAACCCACGGGGTTACTATTTTGTATGGTGTCCATGGCAATGGGTGTTAGTGACTTTCTTTTTTTCATACAAGGCCAGATGGTTCAAAACTCATTCACTTTAGGGCATTTCCCAGCATCTGGAAAATTTAGGGCTTTATAAGTAAAGAGAAGTGTTCGGTGAGATAATGGAAATCTTCACCAAAGGAGGAAGGAATTTCTGGAGAGGAGGGAGTTTCTGGGATGAAAGAAGAAGAAAGGCAGAGAAACTGAAGAGAGGGCCATAAGAGCTTGATGTCAGAGCCAAAATAGACCAAGGAAATGGCAGGAGGACAGATGATGATAGAACAGAGCCAGGCCACATCCCAGCTGCCTGTGTAGATGGACAGAGCTGGGCAGAGGTGTTGCTTCACAGTTGACAGACTGAGGCTGTGCAGACACCATTTGAATACAAGCACCAGCAGTAATTTTAAACATACCTCTCTACTATAATAAAGGTAAAAACAATTAAATTTTATTCTATTGACTGTCACCTCACAATTGCAATATCTGACATTTAAAATAGTTATTTTATGACCTAGCCCAATTGCCCACAAGAAAAAACAAACGGCAAAATAAAACTGATGTCTGGGTTTCTCACCATATCTTTCTTTTCCCAGGTGTTTTGATGATTCTCCCAGACCTTTCCTGAACCCTTTCAGTTTTTGGATGGGTTTTCTGAACAGGCAGTTATGTTAATAACAATGTACTGGTGCCAAGTGCAGCGATAATGTCACCTCTCTACTCCTACTCTGTGTTTCCATGTGCATGTGCTTTGCAAGGACTGCATTAGTCTTTTCAGCATCAACAGCATATCATGAGCTCATGCTCAGCTGATTATGAAATCCTCTCTCCCCCCCTCTGAGTTTCAGTGAGTCACTGACTGGCAATATAAAATCTCCCATCCGTTTGGTTTCCAATTTATGGCCTGTATATTCATGACGAAGCTGAAGATATGCTTCGTGACAAGATTAAACACCAAATTGTGGGAGGAGCAGAAATAGTGAAATCTCTTTTCCTGCATCTCTGTCTTGTCATGCTCTGGTGTCTGAAGGAAAATAACCACTGAGTCTTTCCATCGTGGAGAGGTTGACTCAGTCACCCTCCCCTGTCCAGTTGAGCATTTTAACAGAAAAGCTGGAATAATGTGATGTGTCTCTTTCAGTGTCAAGCTTCAAGTAAGATAGAAGTCTTAGGAGTAAGTGAAGAAAGGGAAAATGGAAGGTAGAAAGGAAATGCAGCCATGTAGGCCTTGTTTTCCTCAGAGACAAAACTAAATATCAGATATGATTTTGTGCTAAAAGAATATAAAAAATGTCTTGACCTAAATTGCTCCTTGCTGGCTTTATGGTGGAATAGTGTAGCTGAAACAGGGTCCTGGGCCATGGCCAGAGCTAGGGAGGCACTGGGATAGGCAAATCAGGGCCAGGAGGGGCTGTGGGTGCCTGTGGGCTACAGCAGGGCAGGGATGGGTATACATGAAACGGCAGCAAAGAAATGGGGACAGTGCCTGGGGCTCCTGATTTTCGTAATTGTTTTGACAATAGTGCCATGTGCTGCTGGACCACAAGTGGACTTCTGCTGTTCTGAAGTGTGGTAGGAGTCACACACGGAACCCTGCATCAGGAGTCCCTTCCTCTAAGTATTTAATTTGGCTCCTACCTGCCCTGTGTCCCTGTGCTCCTCTGAGCTTGAGGAAATGGGCCTTTGATGGGCTGGTTGCTCCTGGGAGCTGCCAGGGCTGGGGATTATATGGGTTTGTCCTCCTGTGCTCTTTTGTGTGCACAGATGTGCTTTTAGTCCATATTAGTCAATAAAAAGGGCTTGCTGTGCCTCTGCCACCTCCTGCCAGCTTTGCCTCCCTCTCAACAGCCTCAGCAGCGAGGTGATGCTCAGGGTGCCACACACTGCTCTGAGCCCATCCCTCACCATGGCATAACTCAGCCTTCAATGGTCAAGAGCATGATTCAGTGTACCCATGTACCCAGCTCCATCCTCATGGCCTCTTATCTTCCCCCATTCCCTCTCCTTGGACAGAAGCACCTCCACTTTTCTAATTATCTTGATGCTGCATATTCGTTGCTGCTCAAAGAGAGCTCATTCCTTACACAACAACCTTCACTATCCTGTACCAAATCCTTTAAATCAAAAGTTGCATCAAAACTACACCAAGAGTAGTATGAGCTGGAGGATTCAAATGAATGCAATGGCAATTTTACTAAAAAAAAAAAAAAAAAGAAAGAAAACTTATTTCCTTTCCCTTTCCTTCCCTTCTTTCTTTGTTTTCTTATTTTGTTTCCTTTGTTTTTCTTCAAGCCTCCTTCTTCCTTCAGTCTCTTCTGTTTGTCACCACCTTCCAGAAAATGGTAACAAGGGAAAATCTAGGGAGAAAAAAAAAATATCTTAGCAAATAATCTAAAATATCCTACTGAACAGTCTGTCTATAAAGACTCCTCAAGTGGGAGGCAGCCTCCTGGGGACTAAATGAAGCAGATGGATTGACCTTGAACAGCAGCCAAACGCCCACACAGCCACTCGCTCACTCCCCCGGCAGTGGCATAGGGAAGAGAATGGGAAGAACAAAAGTGAGAATCATAGAATCATTGAGGTTGAAAAAGTACTCTGAGACAATTGGGTCCAACATTAACCCAGCACCATTCTGTTCACCACTCACCCATGACGCCCACTGCCACATCCACGTGTTTTTGAACACTTTGAGGAATGGTGATTCCACCACTTCCCTGTGCAGCCTGTTCCAATGCCTGACCACTCTTTCTGTAAAGAATGTTTTCCTAATAGCCAATCTAAACATCCCCTGGCACACCTTGAGGCCTTTTCCAAGTCCTATCACTTGTTGCCTAGGGGAAAAGACCAACCCCACCTGGCTACAGTCTCAGGGAGTTGTAGAGAGTGATGAGGTCCTCCCTGAGCCTCCTTTTCTCCAGGCTGAACACCCCCAGCTCCCTCAGCTGCTGTTCATCAGGCTTCAGACATCAGAAGGGTCTGTGCTCCAGACCCTTCCCAGCTCCACTGCCACTCTCTGGACACATTCCAGCAGCTCAATGTATTCTTGCAGTGAGGGGCCCCCAAAACTAAGCGTAGGATTCAAGATACAGCCTCACCAGTGCCAAGTACAGAGGGACAATCTCATTCCCTAGTCCTGCTGGCCACACTATTTCAGATACAAGCCAGGATGCCATTGTTCTCCTTGGCATACTGCTGGCTCGTGTTCAGTCGCTGTCAACCAGCACACCCAGAAATGTTTGCAGATCTGCGTGATCTAATAATAAATGCAGTTTAATAAATGAAGGAAAGCAAAAACCCCTAAACCAAACAACCTAACCCAAAAAACCTCCAAGCAATTCAAAGGCAAGCACTCAGCACTTCCCACCAGCAGACCTATACCCCTCCATCTCCCAGCAATGGTCACCTTGGAAGAAAATGTCCTACCAGTCTTCTTATTCTTCTTCTGTCCCAGATTTTCTTGCTGGGTCAATGTTTTATGGTATGGAATATCCCTTTGGCCAGTTTAGGTCAACTGTGCTAGTTCTGTCCCTCCCAGTCTCTTGCCCACCCCTTGCCTACTTACTGGGGAAGATGAGTGGGAAAAAAAATAGTGGGCCCTGACACTGTGGAAATGTTATTCAGCAGCATCCACCACCCTGGTGTGTTATCAACATCACCATCAGTCATTATCCCCCTCCTTGTCCAGTGACACATGCACAGATGTTGTTCCCTCAGTCTGTGGGACATCCCCCAAACATCCATACAAGTCAAATGAATTAATTTGGTCCTTGACTTGTGCTCCACCCAGTAGCTTTCCACATCAGATAGTTTTGCACAACACAACAGGAAACATTGGTAAACTGAGCATATTGCCTTTCACTTTCTGCTATTTATTATACTTTTGGGCTTGAGCCACCTCCTCAGATGATGCTCTGAAATCTCTGCCTCCTGGCTCAATGGTGACCTCTTTCAGCATCCCAGGGCACTGGGAGTCCTCATCTGAGCCCACTGTGTGATCAATCCCACCTCCTTATTCCATGAACCTTCAGTTGCATTATGTGTAGAGGTGTCCCTTCCTGTGAACATCTGGTACGTCTCAGACCCTTGGCACCCTCACCTCCAGAACCCCAGAGGTCAACCTTGGGTCTTTACAGGTGTTTTCTGCCAGAGGTTCCAGGTGAGAACAGAGCATGTTTCTCACAGCTGGTACTCTCTGCACAGGTCCCAGGGCTATCATACAAACCGTCCTGTCTGTCCTGCTGCTCTTTAGTGACCTTGTCTGGACACCAGGTGCCCACCAAAGCTACTCTGTCACTGCCCTTCCCAAATGAACAGGGGAGAGTAAATGTAACAAAAGGCTTCTAGGGCAAGAGGAGAGGTCATTCCTAAGGATCACTCCTGAGATCACTCACCAGTCACCATCAGAGGTAAAACACTGTCACTGATGGCCTGAGCACTGGCTACTGGTGGATCTCAGTTGGCTTTGGCTCTGGTGGACATTGGGGAAGCCTCTGGCAGCGTCTCACAGAAATTCCCCACTACCAAGGTCTTGCCACACAAACTCAATACACTGAAAAAAGCTCTTAAAGGTCACTTAATGGAAAGGAGTCACAAGCTGACTGTGAGCCAGAATGTGCAGTTTCCAGAAATACACTATGCCTTTTTATTAATTGGTGGAAACTTGACATTTGTTTTACTGATCACATCCATGGGGATGTGATGATGCTGATCTTGCCATTACAAGCTTGGGAACATCTGTCCTGGAGAAGACGAGAAGGAAAGACTCCATGAGATTGTTCCCTGAGCACTGGGATGGCAGCAATGCAGGGGCTAAATGCCAGACTTGGCTCATGGTCATTGCCTTTATCATAGGTCTTTCAGGCAGAGCAGAACACAGTGATAAGCAGCACAGCAGTCACCACAAGATTGGGTGTCACAGGGACAGCAGTGGGCTGTTTCAGCAGCTGCCAAGCACCCACCCAGCTCTCAGCAGCATGGGGGGAGGCTGGGATGATTAAAAGCAAGAAAATCAGATAAAGCTGGTTTCATGGGTAAAAAACAAGAGGCAAAGACAGGCCACTGTGAGGCTGCTGCCTGGCCAGGGCTGTCCTGTGGCACCTCCAGGACCATCTCAGCGACTGCCCTGAGTCTTTTTCTCCCTGTCACAGAATCACAGATCCCAGAGTCACAGAACTGGTCAGGTAGGAAGGGACAGCAGTGAGTCATTCGGTCCAACCTCCTTGCTCAAGCAGGGCCATTCTAGCACACATTGCACAGGATTGTGTCCACTTGCATCAGGGGAGAGACACCACACCTCTTTAGGCAGTATTTCAGGGTAGGGTCACTGCACACAGAAGTTCTTCCTATTCGGCTGAAACTCCCTGTGCATCAGTTTCTGCCCATTCCCTCTTGTCCTGGTACTTGGCAGCACCGAGCAGAGCGTGATCCATCCTCTGGACACCTCCCTGCAGATACTCCCGGACGAGGTCCCCTCTCCGCCGCCTCTTGTGGGGCTGAAGAGCCGCAACTCCCTCAGCCTCTGCCAGTACGAGAAACGCTCCGGTGCATTAATTAAACACCTTCCTTTCCCCCCGCTGGACAATTCCCTTCGCTCCCCGCTATTTGTACGGCGGGGCTGGCGGTGTGTGCCGGGGCTGAGGCCGTGAGGCGGTGTGTCGGTGGCGAGGCGGTGTGTGCCGATGGTGAGGCGGTGTGTGCCGGTGTGTGCCGGGGCTGAGGCGGTGTGTGCCGATGGTGAGGCGGTGTGTGGCGGTGTGTGGCGGTGTGAGGCGGTGAGGCGGTGTGTGCCGATGGTGAGGCGGTGTGTGCCGGGGCTGAGGCGGTGTGTGCCGGGGCTGAGGCGGTGTGAGGCGGTGTGTCGGTGGCGAGGCGGTGTGTGCCGGTGTGTGTCGGTGACGAGGCGGTATCGCTGTCTCCGTGTCCCCTGTCCGTGTCCCGGCGCCGCTGTCCCCGGCCGGGCCCGGCGCTCTTTGTCTGCTCGCCGCCGCCCCGCGCAGTCACGTGCCGGGGGCGGGGCCGTCGCGCGGCGCTGACGCGCGCGGGGCGCGGGCAGGATGGGGCGGTGAGGGGCGGCCGTGCCGGAGCGCCCGCGGCAGCCGCGCCGGGCCCCGAGCGAGCCGAGCGGGCGGTAAGGGCGGCGGCGCCGGGGAAATGCGGAGGGAACGCGAAGGGAGCGCGGGTCACGGGGCGCCGGGGCTCCCCGCAAGCCGGCCGGGCCTGGCGGGGCGGCGCCCGCGGCTGTGCTGGCGCCGGGCCCCGCCCGCGGCCGGGGGTCCGGCGGGGCCTCCCCCGGAGCGCGGAGCGGTGCGGCCCTGCCGCTCCCGGCCCTGCGCTCCCGGCCCCGCCGCTCCCGGCCCGGCTGCGCTGCGCCCTTGGCGTCTCCGCGCTCCCGGTGCTCGCAGGGGAGCCCCTGGGTGCCGCTCCCCCCGCAGTGCGGGGCTGGGAGGCTCCGACCCCGCGTCCCGGCACTCCCGCTCGGCAAGTGCGCCTGGGCTGGCACAGGGGGCACCGCCACAGTACTTGCACAGAGAGGTTTTTTTGGATACTGACTGAGCTACAAAATAAAATTAGAAGCCAGTTGTGGCTGAAACTCAGTGCTGTGAGTGCGACTCCGGAGTGCATAGAAATACTCAAGATAGGGTTTTGTTTGTTTTTTATTTGTGCTAATTTCATCTTACTTGTCCTTTAGGCCATGTTTATCTGTTCTTGGTAAGGTAAGTTTTTCTTGGTTTGCGTTTTCTTCACCCGAAGAGAGCACACATGTTAACCATACATAAATTAAAATTATGCTTATAAATGATGTGAAGGAATAATTCAAAGGAATCTTCAGTCTAGGGCAGTTTCAGAGATGAGCACTATGGTTTTTTTCTTATTATGTTTCGACTTGAGGTTGATAACAGATAGTTTTGAAGGGAAAGAAATCTGAATAAAAGTATGTATGAATGTTTTTTGATGCTTTTTTTTTTTTTTTTTTTTTTTTTTTTTTTTTTTGGGGGCCTGACTGTATTTCTGTAGGCTAAGCAGTTAATACAAACTCAGGATCAAAATTTTGCATCTTTTCACCCTCTGGAATATATTTGCTGTCAATGACACATTTTAAACAACATAATGTATTTTAATGCTATTTTCTTCCTTCCTTCAAAGGTGGTGAAAAAGAATATCAAGATGAGTAAAAAGCCTCCAAATCGTCCTGGAATCACATTTGAGATTGGTGCTCGTTTGGAGGCACTGGACTATTTGCAAAAATGGTACGGAAGGCATTGTGTAGTATTTGCTGAGAGCATAATTATTTTGTGTTGTTTGTGTGCTTTGATAACTGATTATAAAAGCCAGTGCACCCATTAATTGACAATTTCCACACGTGAACTTTATGAATTTCCACCTAAGTCTGTTAAAAGTGTTAGCTTTTAGGAAAATATTCTCGCTTCAGAAATCAAGCTAAAGTTTTCTACAGGTTTGTGTTTATTTGCTCGTAGTGGCTTGTGAAGGTATAATAAGCAAAGAGCCCTTCTGGAGTCATGTGGAATTCAGTGTCATGGCCGAGGTGATCGGTGTGTCAGTGAGGCAAACTTCATGATCAAAGACTTCTTTTGTCTTCATTTGAAGGCATGCAAGGGGAGTTGTTTTGTATTCAGTTGTCACACTTGACAGGTTCACAAAACTGATTCTAAAAAAGAAAAAAAAAATAAACCCACATCCTGAATTGGAGTTCATAGGATAGACAGATGCAGTTGTGATTTTATTGAACAGCTGGAGAAATGAAGTGATTAAAACTGTGACTCTGCAACCACCCAGGCGTATTGTGAATTGAAAGATTATAAAATTGGTATTGTGGACACAAGGACTATGCTGCACAGCATGTGTATTGTGAAAGGAGGTGTTCTGATGAAAAAAATGGTTGGTAAAAATTTTATTAAAGCAAGTGGGCTAATTTGTTGATGATGCTATTTGAGTTTGAAAAATCCCTGGTTTTAAAGTAGGTGACAGAAGTTGTTGATGCTTCTACTTAGAAGTTTTTTCTTAGTTGCTCTCTGATTTATTAGGGTTAGGAAGTGTAGAGGTGCGTAGCTATTTTTCTGTTGTATTCCTGGAGAGCTCAGCATGTTCCTGTAAATATCTGATCCTGTTAACTCCAAGTGATGTGAGAGAGAAGTCTGTGTATTATTGATGTGTCTGCTCCAGTGTTATGTGCTATGTATAAAAAGTTGGGTCAAACTTTTTATTTGTAGAGCTTTGATTTTAATTCTAGGAAGAGTGTTTGTCTTAATAAATGGACTCTAAAAGACTTGGTTTATAGAACTATTCTTGTTCTTACCTGTTGCTGTAGACTGGGTTTTCAGCATACTGATTCTGTAACTGAGTGGCAAGATAAGGAAAACGTCCAAAATAGAACAATAAAACTTTTTGCAGCATCTTCTGTGACTAGAGATAGTTGGTTATGTAATCAGGTAACAAAAATTAATATGTAAAAGTAGCATAATAGTATTAAAAAAGTATCACTGACTGTTCAGTGCATAGTTTGTGTCAGACCTGCCCAGCTTTTTCCTGGGAAGAGTTGCATGTCAGTGCTGGAGTTCTTGTGTAGGTTTGGATTGTCAGGCATGGCCATGTCACAAGCTCTGCAGCTGAGTTGCTGGATGTTTTCAGGAAGAATAGAATTTATCCTGAACTTTCCAGGATTTGATTTATTATCTGTACCACCAGGTAGACCCAGGTCAAGTTTAAATACATGTAAACTATTGTGGTGCCATATACAGATGAAAGTTAATATCAAAATTTAGCAGTTGCAGCAACAATGAAAACAGGACTGTATTTCAAATGAACTAGTAATACAAAATGAACTAATAATATAAACCCAAATACATTATGACAGAAAATCTACTGTTGTGCTATTATTAGGGTGTCAAGGGTTGCAATGATAGTCTATGGGATTTTTTAGTTGGCTTTCTGTTGCATAAGGGGGTGGTGAATGTTTTAAAAATTCTTTCTATATATAATCTGTATGCATTCTGCTCATTTGCATGCAGAAATACATACTTCAAAGAAAATAAATTTGCTGAACTTGCATGAAATCTCTTTATTATTTTTTAACAAAAGCCAAACTGAAGATCATTGGCATTGCTTAGCTCAGTCTTTCTGCAAGTGACAAATTGAGAACACTTACTGAAAAATAGCCTTTAAAAGAATTTTTTTTTTCTCCATTTTTCTGAAAGCTTGTTGTCATCTAATGATCATGACTAGTTAAACTGTTAATCAAGAAAGGCTTCTAGAGGATGTAAGAAAAAAATACAGTGAAGTATGTTTTTGTTTTTTGAGGTACTTTTGCAGGTCTTTAATTTTCAACTGTGTAGTAGTTGCTGAAATTGAACTCCTGGCATCTGGTGTTTCATTTATGTTCTGTGAAGTTTTGAGGCATCATCGATGTACCTTGACTACTTATTGCTTTAAAGCCCTGTAGTTTTAAATGAAGTTTTTGCAGGTGGTGTTTGGATCACTGGTGTCATTTGTGATGTACTGTGGCGGAGTAGAAGAAAGCCTGGTCAAGCTGGTCAGCAAAGACAAGACAGGCTGTCAGTGAGCATGTTTAGTTTTGCTTTATTATGGAGGCAACTGCAATTTCTGCTTTATCAAGTACAGCAGTTATGCTGTTGCAGGGGATCATCTTGCATAAAGAACTTGTACCACTTGTTCCACTTAAATTTGCTAAAGCAAACTATGAACTGCAGCTCTAATCAACACTGATCATCTGCAGCAGATAATAAACGAGATGGGATTGAAAATTATAAAATAGAAAATTATTAAGCGATGGGATTGAAAATTGTAAAATAGAAAATTATTAAGTATGTGAAATGATCATTGTCTGGAGGAGTGTATGACCTATAAAGAGAGAGTGAGGAAGTTACTTCTTTAGCTTGGAGAAGGCTTCAGAAATCCCATTATCAGCCTTCTGATACCTACAGTGCTGTTATCAACAAAACTTAGCCAAACCCTACAGGTAGTTAGAAGACAAAAGAACAGGCACAAACTGAAATGAGATATTCAGACTAGGTTCAAGGAGAATCTTTTTCTTCTTGGGACAGTCAAGCAGTGGATCAGGTTGCCTGAAGAGTTTGTGGAGTCTCCAGAATGGGAGTTTTTCAAGACTGGGATGGATAAAGCATTGGAAAACCTGGCCTGTTGCCATAGCTGACCCTGCTTTGAGTGAGAGGTTGGACTAGAGGCTTTCTGAGGTTGCTTTCAGTTTGAATTCCCCTGTGATCTCGTACATGAACTGATACATGTGCATACACCCTCTTCTGCCTCTCTTTGCTGACAGAGCAAAAGAAAAAGCGGTAGAGCTGCACTTACCTGCAAGTGCATGTCTGTGTGTAAGACAGTTCTTGAGCTGTCAGCTCCCACAAGTAGGACACTGTCCCTGCAAAGTTGATGTATTTAAGGATATATCTTCATTTTTTAATATTTTTGTGTGTTTTTTTTTTTGGCTGTAGCTCTCTGCTGGTTGTCCTGTAAGCAGCAGATATTGATTTGAAAAAATACCCTGTTGTTTTTCTGAGACCATAGTCTTTATTAATTTGCTCAATCTAAACTCTTAAGTTAGGTAATGAAGTACAGATGCATGGCTCTGGTTTCTGGAATGGAAACAGCCCCTCTAAAATAGGTTAGTTGTTGGAGCAACAGTACTACCTCTTGGTATATTTGATTATCTGGATGGATTTCCACACCCCCCCACCACATATGGAGGAAGTCTTTTCCCTGAAAGACTTTGAGAAATCTTATTTGGTACAGTCCTTGCTTTGGATCTCAGTTGACTGGGTTACCTGGCAGGTTTTGAAAACGAAGTGAAGTCTGCTTTATATTTAATACAATATATGTATTATGAATGTGGGGACCTAGAAATAGATGTTTGCCGATTTTGCAGACACTAGAACACTATTTGTGAGAAGTCAGTACGGAGGGTATTTGGTTTAATATCCTTTATGAGATAGAAGGAAGCACTTTTTAAACCAGTGTCACAAAGGCAAGAAGTAGGAGTGTGTTTGTAGACTTTGTAGGTACAAACTTGGGCAAATTTACTAATGTTTTTGTATCTTTTTTACAGTTTGAAATGCCTATATCCCATTTCACAAGGCAGTTCTCCACTTTTTGGTCACTTTTGAAGGGTTAAAAGGATAATGTAAAAAAAAAGTGCTGTCTGTGTGGCTGTTAATGTGTGTTGAGTGCATTGGAAAAAATATGTGGTTTTTTTTTCTACACTGTTAAGAAGTGAAATGGGAATTTTTCATTATTTTTTATTGTATAAATGTAAGAACACTGTTGCTGCGTGACCAAGGCTTCATAGTATAGGTTTTTAAGCCATATCAAATTCTGAGGCTTTTCAAAAATATTGTGTAATTCTAATGGGTTGGAATTGCCAAGATTGGAACCTGAGAATGGAGGGTGTGCAGTGTGTAAACTGGGCAAATAAATCCAGCTAAGAGCAGTTCTCTTGTTCTCTCTTTGAAAAGCAAGAGCAAACCCCCTTGAAATTTGGATGAAGCTTCATTTGTGATTACTACATGATCTTTCCGGCACCTTTTTGAAAAAGCTCACCCAAAATTTGCAGAATATTGTTTCTTCCCATAAAAGAAACTCCTTGATTATTGAGTTTCAGTGTGCTGGTCTGAGTATTTTCTTTTTTCTTTTTTTTTTTTTTTTTTATTTATTTTTTGTTTTTTTGAAAAGTGAAGACTTTTCCCTCAAATTTTAGAGTGTGTTTTTCTGGTTTGTGCTGATGAAGTGTTGTCAAATCCAGTTGTATATCAACTTTGTTGTGATGAATTAGTGTGGCTTACTTTCTGGGGAAATTACCCTGACTTGAAAGTTGATTTGGCCTTGATATTATTATTCTTTAGTACTGTAAAGAATGATATTTGTGTCTCCCTTTGCAGTATGTCTTCAAATGCCTAATTGTAACTTCGTGATGGAAAGAACTTCCACATAGAAGTTCTGAAGTGTATGAAATGTAATCATCTTCATATTAATCTTTTTAATTCATTCTTTAATTGATTCTTTTCA